GCTGCGGATCACAAAGTAGATGGAACCCATATATGGCCATTGCAGCTGCAGATCACAAAGCAAACGGAACCCATATATGGCAATTGCAGCTGCAGATCACAACTGCAATGATTTATGTATCACATAATTACTGGTTGATGTTACATGTAGGTTTTCCTTTTGTAGCAAACTAGCAAGGCCTGTCTGATTATCCTCTCCAAGAAGGAACAAGGACTGGAACTCACTGCAGTGCATGCAGGCAGCGGTTCACGGATATTTGGTGCAGGGCGCACTGAGAACATGTGGTCCACTCTGTGTTGGAATTAAAGGTCTTTGCGTGTGTGCCTGGTGTAGCACACATGAGCCAAATTGAAGAATTTCCCCACCAGTCTGTCTCTCCATTACCAATGAGATTGCACTTCAATTAATGCTGATTTGTGTGTTTATTTTTTTGTTCTATAAAGAGAGTAGTGAAAGGAGGATTTGTAGTTTAGTTATAATTGTCAGGCAAGACTTGCTTTTGGGAAAACACATACATAAAGAATGACACTTACATGCACATGTATATATCATCCAGAATTTGATATCAAACTTCTGTGTTTTCCTGCAGCTTTTCCAGAACTTAGTAAATTTCAACTTAAATTTAGCCCTGTTGTTTTAAAATTGAACTGTTTCAATACATTAAACATCAGATGTTATGGATATTGGCTGAAATCGTGATTGGTATTACGCCGTACAGAATCTTGGTTTGTTATTATTTGGGAAGTACATGCCTGTAATTGCCCTAGAATGTTCTGCCATGTAATGTGCATGTATTCCACATCCAGCCAGAGACAATAATTAAATGCTTGTCTATTTGAAGAACAAATGTATTGGAAAGCTTGCTGTAAAGTGTACAAGGTAAATAGAATGTGATTATCTTTGACCTCTTGGAAGGAAATATCGGTATGTTGAAAGTGCATGATGTATCAACCTGCCATGTGATGAAAACCTGTAAAGAACCATAAACGTCTGATGGAAACATACCATAAACCTTGGAAAATAGTACACAAATACATCTGTAGTCAGCTCACCTGAAGAGGTTGGTTAGGGAGGCTGGGCTTGCTACACATACATGTATGTGTGTGTCATTATGGAATGTCCAAGTTAGGGATTCTTTAATTGCATAAAAACTCACCTATCATGTTGCGAGAAAAACTGTGTTTTTGTTGTTAAAATAACGCATACATGTTCATGTATTCATTCCTGTTGCTATGAAATGCACGCAGTCTGTTTACTGGAGTCGTATTGGTCATTGATCTTTAAATTCATACATGAATCAGAATTGTAAGGAAATAACGCATGACAGAATTTTGTCTTGATACAGACCTTTTAACTGTAACTTTTGCGCAAAAACATTGAAGTTACATGTAAGTACAGGAAGCATGGAAAAACACTGGCCCTTGTCAATTTCAAACCATCTGTTATGACCACCAGCATCTCCGACCCAACAGTGGCTTGAAGTAAACAATGAAGCATGCACTTAGTGTGGTTGAATAAGTAGCCTTTCATTGTCTATGCATGGTACATACATGTATATGTACATGACGTGAGTGCCATTCTGTGCATCATCATGAAAATTGTCAACACAACAAATGCACACCTACAATGTAAATGTACATGTACATGTATGTATCTGACCTTCAAAAAGTTATAGAGTTGGTTGTGTTGACAGCTGGGTGTCAGGAGGTGAGGTCTGCACAATAGGAAAGCTCATGGTAGCTTTGGCATTCAGATTCAACAGTTCACTACATTGGATTTCCTTAAACAGTTTGGAGCTTTGGCAGACATGTTGGATTACATGTACTGGTTGCTTGAAATGATGCACACAAAGTTGTAGTCATTGGGATGGATGTATTGTCGAGCTTGAAGTTAAATTTGGTTTCCAGAGTATCATTTGTGTTTTTTTTTTTTTTAATGAATGCTTTCCCTTTTTTGTTCCATTCCCACCCTGTCCTACATCCCTACTTCCATAGCAACACCTTCCTTCCAAAAAGAAGTAGTCAAGATAATTCAGTCAAGATAATGTAACGGGGGAAAAAGAGAAAGTTGCGTTGGTGCCTATTTGTGAATACCAGTGGTGTCAGGCAAAGGCAGCTGTGAAAGCCGGTACAATAGCCAGGTGTGTGGGGCACTGGATCACAACATGCCAGAGGGATATCGTTCAGACTTCTTTTTGAAATCAAACCTTTCGATTGCAAACTTTGTAATCTTTCGTAGATATTATTTCAATGAAGGAATTAACACAAAGAAAACTCTGTCCTGTCTTGAACATTTGCACAAGTACATGTATGTACATGTACATATATGTATCCCTGGGAAGTCGCCAGTCTGACGGTTTTAAGCCTTGGTCCAAGTAGTCTACTGCAGTGGCTTTCCTAAGCTGAAAGAGAAAGTACAGACAGTGAAGTCGACACTTTTGAATCACCTTTGTATCTGATACCTCCCCCCCCCTCCAGGCTGAGAAGCGAGCCCACCACAATGCCCTGGAACGTAAGAGGCGCGACCACATCAAAGACAGCTTCAACTCCTTGAGGGATGCTGTGCCTAATCTGGAAGGGGAAAAGGTAAAATGTTCCCCAGTGACAATATCAGCTGTTGGCTTGCTACAAAAATAGTATACTCCACAATATAATCAATGCAAAATCAGATTTTTTTCAGGCCTTTTTAGAACACCAGGAATAAAGCTTGCAGTAGCTAAAGAATCCTTGTGTTACAAGTACTTTACTTTTCCAACTGATTTCCAACTGTAGCTGTCTTTTTACATGTACGTTGAGTACACTTTCCGCTTGGTGTAGGGGTTAAGTTTGTCCGTGTTTGTTTCATCTCTAGGACTGGGTGAACACTTTTAATCAATAGTTGTAAATGGAAAATAAGTTTTTATTTTGGAATAAAAACAACCTTGTGGCTTTGTTGAGATGCATCTGAATTATGCTGGCACTAACGGTGTGCAGTCACCCAGTAACTTGAGTATAGGTCATCTGTTGTGCGGAAGGTCATTAACCAGCATTTTGTTTGCATTTAGAATGCATTAAATTCACCTAGCAACAATTCTGGACATTTTCTAGGCATCCAGAGCCCAAATTTTGAACAAAGCCACCGAGTACATCCAGTTTATGAGAAGGAAGAACAACTCACATCAGTCAGACATCGACGGCCTTAAAAGGCAGAACCAGCAACTGGATCAGCAAAGTAAGTCTGGTCACCAGGCACTGCCTAAACAACTTATAAAGGATGAGGCTATCTGGTGCAGTTTTCTTAAGAGCTGCCTCCATGATGTCCACCAATGGCCAGTGGTGTTGATGAAAACCACGCTGTTATTGTCGGTGCTTGAAGACCCTCACATCAAAACGCTGTTTCCATCGCAATGCTTATCAATCGTGATTTCAAAATGAAAAATTTGGATTAATGTTTTGTTCCAGCTACAATTTTTTCACAGGGGGGTGTTACTTTGAAGCACAAAGGTGGCATTGGGTTTGCATCTCAGTGTTTTGTCTCATAGTAGAATAAGGATGGTTATTAGCAAACGGGGTTCAAGGACTCACAGGTCATCCTTTGCTGACCAGATTGAAGTAGCCGAGTTCTGTTTGTTTTTTTAATTCTGAATTGCTGATTCTGCCTACATTGGACACTTTGCATTGACCTTCAAGCACGTTCTTTGCTTCCAAGATCTGGACATCAGTCCCCATGCAAATGGGGACGTGAACTGTGATGTCCACAAAAGGCAACCCTTCTTCAGATTGAATATATGTGCAAACTTCATAGATGTATTCGTAATGGATGTCTTAACGTGTCTGCCAAGTTCTGAAAAGATCGGTCTTGGGACACATTCCCCTCCCCCAGCTGTGAGAAGTGCATATACCAAAAACTGATCCTGTCACAGTTTAAGTACATGTGGTCGGGAATTTCAGTGGAGACACACATGAGTATCTACAAATGGAAAGTTTGAAAGAAAAGACCGTAAAGTCACACTTGACTCATGAATACCAAAGGAACTTTTTGTTTTGGTCGTAAAATATGTGTTCCTGGTATTATTCTCTGAAAGTATTAAATTTAAATAGTCCTTGATTTTAGCACTTCTAGGTTGTATGTTAAAGGTCAACTACATGCATTTTAGCTACTACTTACAAAAATGAGAGCGCTGAGAAACTATCCTCGTGGAGTAGAGATTGAGCATGTGTTCAGTAAGCACAGTGGGTATTGGAAGCTTCTCGTACATGTATTGGCCACTTTGTAATTTCGGCACTAATTTCTGATCATTTTCTTTTCCTTGCAGTTCGTCTCCTGGAGAAGAACCCAAGCGACCCGCTGGCACTCAGCAATGGCCTAGCACTCCTCAACAATCCCAAAAGTACCACTGTCTCATCCTTTGAGCGGGCCTCCGATTCGGACTCGGATTCCTCGGAGGACCGGGCCCGCATCCCCCCCAAGAGGTTAAAAACGGGCGACGGCCCGCCCCCATCTGAGTCCTCTTCCGTTCCTAATGTCAATAAATTGCCTGTGAATAACAAGACGTGATCTCTTATGGGATTTGTGCATGAAATGTGTTGTCAGAAATGGAGTGTGCATCTTACATTGTCACAACTGTGCCCTGCTTTCCTTGTCTCACATTCAGTCTGAGTCACCCTGATGAGCCATGTCCAGCTGTTCCAATTTAATTGGAGCCATTCTGATTTGTGACGTTTTGAAGGAGTACAAATCGGAACATTTCAATTTTCAGGAGAAAAACAGAAATGTGAAAAACATCTCGTATACCGTTCAGCACACCGTCAAGGTGCTCATCCTTGATAAGCATGTACATCCCCGAGCATGGTGGTCATGAAGAACATCAGATAGCAGTGAACTACAATACAGGTACTCCGGGGGATCATGTGCGAAATCATTTGCACACAGGTGTACAATGACATGATGTGATGCGGGCACCCATGGGCTGTGTCACTTGAAAACACCCATTGCATGTATACAGATGGCATCCTCATGCTTGTCCAGTAGCCCGCCCGGTCACTGAAAAAAACAGCTGTTGGGATCAACATGTACATGTTCTCACCGTCTGGTTCTCAGACCAAAAGATCCCAGCTGTGTTAATTTGGCGTTGAAAGAGAGTGAATCTGTGTGGTTGCACTGCTCGTGCACCAGTTACTTTGTTTTCTGAGTTGCCAGTGTTGGCAGGTGTGCTGAGCAGTTGTCACACTTGAGCACCATCAGATGATAGTACTTATTATGAGGGAGATCTTCAAACGTGTCAGGGCATAATTTCTTGTATGCTGTATACAAGGTTTCCTGCCCAGAGCATGATAGTACTCTGTTGCAGTCCCCCCTCGTGTTTCTTGCTGAGTTTGGTTTCCAAGTCAGAGTTGCTCAGCTACACTGTTTTTGTCAAAGAGGCATGATCTTACATTTAAATTGTACCAACAGAGATTGTTTCAGTTGAGGACCAGCTGTTGACCCTCTGGAAGACAGTCTTCACACGACCATTTATCATCACCCCAGAGGTACACGTGTGTCAGCTTTGGACTTAATGAGGTTGGGAACAGCAAGTTAAGACAAACCAAACACACACACACATATTAAGTGGGAAAAAGCATGGTGCAGGCGGAATGCATGGATCAGTGTGTAGAAAATGTCAAGGAAGGCAGGGTACAAAGCACACTCCAGTTTTCTTGTCATAAAAATTTTCATTTGTTGTACTGTTGTGTTTTCCAGTCATTCTCTGAGAAATTGAACTGTATGTTTTTACCTAGGAGTGTATGTGGATGTACAAGTACGTGGCCTAGTCGTATGAACTATCTGTAGAGAATGTCTTGGGCAGAGGCTTACATTGAAAACTTTTTCTGTCTGTATCATTTTGTACATTGAAACTTTTTTTCACTTTACCCACTCGCCCCTCTTTATACCCGTGTATGGCATGACTGGTTTTGATGACCTTTGACGCTTTCAGTCCAGAAGGCAGGATATCCTGTGACATTGGTTGTCCACTGTATGCATGTCACCATCAGTAAAATTACTTTCTGTTCATTACATTGCCAATTTCATCACCGTTTTCACGAAGATGCAAACTCCTATGCAGCATAAAAGTAAACTTTTGAGAAAAACGCATTTGAAGTGGGTCACTTTTTACAGCAGCGATTCATAGAGATCAACTGCAAAAGTTGATTAAGTACACTGCGCACATGCATGCATGTGCACCTTTTAACTGTTATAAACTGCAAAACGTTTAATGTCCAATTTTTAATCTTAAGTAATTAAGGATTACTTACTGACCAAAAATGTTTTAATTTGTGAAAACTCAAACCCTAGGGGAAGGGTATTGGCAACTTGCATACTTTTACCATTGTGCCTGCAAGGTGCAAAATTGTTACATTTGTGTAGAGTTCCAGAGTTGACTTGTGGTAACAACAGTGTTGCCCTTCATTTCTTCTTGTTATCTCTATGGAGCACACTCCTCGTTCTCTGTGAAAGTGACGGCAGTTTAGGTGGAGTTTTTTCCTAGAATACCATCATGATTGGCTAGTTTCAGTAGATACGGTCAAAATGATTTTACCAGTTTGTCGGCATCATATGGCGTGGTCGATTTGGCAAGAAGACCACAGAAATTTGAAAAAGTAATGATTTTTGGTCAGTTTGTCTCTTCGTGAAAAGTGTCCATCAACATTCACATTTTGACCACTTGATATAGTATCCTGACGTGACCATGTCAGGGGCGGCTAGAAGCCTTTGTCCTTTGAAGCCTTCACGCTGTGAGCAACCTCTTGCCTCTCCAGGTTGTTTTGTTTGTAAATGTTTTGGTATGCCATCCCTTCTCCCAACTTCTTGCCACGGTGCCTGGCTGCTCCCAGTAGAAGGTTAGTCTGGTTCCTAGACCTGACAGTTACCCTTACTTAAAGTGAAGGTCTGGTAGCCGTCACAGATCAATATGGAACATTGTGCAGTGCAAGATTTATGGTGTACATGTATTTTGCGTGGACTATGGCATAGCAGTTAGTTTTTAAATACTAGTATGGCCATCATGCTAAAGTGGTAATAACTATTACTACACAGATTACAAAGTAAAGTTGCTAAAATCGCATACATGACGTGTATGGAGAAATCAGAAGAAAAGCAATGTGGGGATACTTCCAAAAATGTACAACAGTTTATAAAAATTAATGAGAATGAGTGCAGAAATTTTGGACACTTTCAGAAATGGGAGGAATTTTTTCTACTGAGGTCATCTGAGCTGTGGCAGCTTTCAGACTTTGAGACTCTTAATAGTTGGAATCATGTGGTCTGGGAACCAGACTTCTCTGTAAGCTCCATTTGAAGAAAATCAGGAATGACCAACAAGGCTAAAATTTAGAACAAAACTTGAGCAGAGTGTTTTGGGCCTTTTGTAACAGATGTTTAAATATTTCTAATCTGCTGCAGACCATTACCTGGTTTCAGAGAGTTTGATGGATGGCAGACTGTACAGACATTGTTTCTTGGGGATCGGCCTTTGTACTGCAATTTTGGGCATGTCAAAGGTTGTGCTGTTGGTTTTGTGAATTGTGAGATTAGGGTAGGTTACCAGCAAAAAAATTGGCATGGAAGTTGGGATGGAAAGGACTTCAGTCGTACCAGAGTTCCTAGAGGAATGCTCCTTGAAAGTATGCTGCAGCTTGAAAGTATGCTGCAGCTTGAATTACTTTGTACAGCCAAAATACTTGGGCTTCATCCGGTTCGTAAGTGTGACGTCACTTCAGTTTAAACCACGCCCACTGCACATGCATTGCACTAGAGTTGCATGCATTGATGGCTGATTACACGGAACCGGAAGTTAATGCGCAACTTCAGCAATCGTCCAATGGGAGCCTGCAAATCGTGGCACGTCCACCTTTGTGATGAAGTCACTTACGAACCGGATAGAGCTCACTGATATTTCACTTCAGACAAAATTACACAGTGAAAAGGTCCAGGGATTGGTGCAAGTGTTCACTTCTAATATTCTTGTATACTCCTGTATGCTGAAAGTACTCAGTTGGCAAAGCCATGGCAAATAGGCATGATATACCATAATGTTCCTAGGGTTGATTTACGGTAGTCTTAGTTCCAAGACCTTCCTGCACTTCTGTAGTTTATTCTGCAATCATGAACCATCACTGTCAGAGGGCGCTATCTCCAGATGAAATACTGAAGTCAGAGAAGGACCCAATCAATGTAGCACCCTTCTGCAGTTTCAATTAATCCATTTCAGCCAAAAGGAGAAATGTGATGCTCTTGGAACCAAGGCTAGGGTTGATTAGGATTTGGGATAGGACTTAAGTGTAGCTCAAATGCTGTTGCCCGTGTCATGATATGTACGATACATGTACGTGTTACTGGACATGGGTCATGGTAATAGTCTCTGGTTTTTTTGCTGCTTCAGCCACTGACAAGTGAGACCATAGAACTGCATCACTGGTATGGGGCCTTCAGTGGTCATACACATCATTGTTGCGTAGTTATAAGGACAACACACCTGTTGAAACAGACGTCAGGACAAATTTTTGTCCTCGTGTTTGGGTCCTGACTTTCCTAACATAAGGAATTGTCCCCTTAACGCGATGAAGGTGTGGGCAGTGAAATTCCTCCTCCTTTATTCCCACATAGTTCTTGTAACAAATCTTGAGGAGCCAGTCTCCCAGTAACTGAAACTGATATCCGTTTAACTTGCAGTTCAGTTCAGTTAGATGAAAGAATAGACGGACAGATTCGCAGTGGGACAAAATTCTGACAGAAGTGTTCACTAGTTTATGTTTCTGTATTTTTTGTAATTGTAAATATTGTGTGAAGTGTGTAACTTCATTAGGCAGATAATTATTTTTGTAACGAGTTCGTTCTTCTCATAGGCAAATTTTGTTAATGAGCGGGAGAGTAATCTTCTAAACAGTCTCAAATCAGATCTGGTTGAAGATAAGATGCTGTTTGAAATTCTGATGCAGATTTTGATAATGACCTTTGTTAAATTACTACCTCTTGACAGTGTTAGACCTCCTTCGCCATTGGTAATAAAGGTTGGTTGCTTTTAACAGGGCATGGTTAGCCAGTTCACTATTCCAACAGAAGCCAAAATCAAGCCCTTTATCGATCACTCAAGAACATTGGTGTGAGTTTGCAAGGTTGGCCCAATACTCTGAGTTCTTTAAATTCACTGGAGCATAATAATTTGAATTCTCCATACTAAAAACACTGTTGCTATACCTCGTGATTCGCGGCAAGCTTTTGCTTAGTTACGCAAGAGAAGGCTAGCACCAATACACTGTTCTCAATGGATAAGAAGGGCACAAAGGAACCAGTCCATTCCAGAGATGGTGGTCACTATGCAAAAGCTTACCCCGAATCACGAGGTATAGCAACAGCGTGTTTAGTCTGGGAAATTAAAACGTTCGTTTGTGTGCAATCAAATAACTCAGTGTACCAGATTTCATTCAAGTTTACTCGCAAATGGCTTATTAAGGGCGGCCATATGCCAACTCACACGCACTGAACATGTTGGAACAGGCATGATGTTGAGTGCTTTGTTTTTTAATTACTTTTGGGGAAATACCAAACTGGCTCATAGTTTTAGTGGCGTACGCAAGTGGAACACATGACATTGACACCAGAGTATGCAACACCATGCACACACATCCCTTTGAATTTGAAAATGTGTAAGTTTGTGTAGAGAAATCCACCATCACTGGGACGTTATTGTCCATTTGTTTACCAACACACATAGTTTAAGGATGTTAATGTTTTCTTGAACACTGGTACTGTATTTTCTTGCACAAAGCTTACTTTTGGCTCCACTGATCTCCGGCATGCAATGCCGCATTGTGCCCATACAAGGCTCCCTACAGTAGCAAGCACATGGAGGATTGAGCCACGTGCCAACACTTTGCATGAAAGATATGGAAGTGGCCTTTTATTGAACAGTAAAGATAAGTTCAACGCTGTGCCTGTGTTTGTAGTTAACATTGTACAGGCATGTGGACTGCATGGAAAGTCATTGCAGACAAAAAGCATGGAAAATGTATTGAACTGTACAATTCTTCAAAGAAAACGGACTTGGTAACGCAAGCTTATTCACAGATTTCTCCGGAGTGAAGATACAAGCAATACCTGGAATATGAGCTGCATTTGAGGTTTTATAACTTAGGCATAAATTTATGAACTTGTCATGAAAGCACTATAAATTCAGATTTATCATTTTATAAAATCAAATCACAAGGTCTGTCGATTGGAAAGTTTAAAGGTCAGTAGATTGCATTTGTATTTATGTTGTATGTATTGTACATTTTGGATATGTGTCTAGGGTAAGTTGTTTGAATTCCTTCTTGTTTCTTGATCATGAGTGGGGTTGAGGTGTGAGCTTGATTATTGGACAGAACGAGATGAACAGAAAGTAAAAAAGATTCAAATATGTGTACTTGAACAGAAGTTAGTGTCTGTGTGAATTTTTATAAGGTTAACAGAGCAACACATACCGAAATTTATGTCCTTGTTCTTATTTAAAATCTGGTGCCTTGTGGAGACCCAGGATAGGTTGAAAAGTTTTCCATAGAAAAATTCTTTAGTTGGAAAGGTCTCTACAATGATTCCACGAAATAAATTACTTTAAAAGGAGGCACATGTAAAATTAACTGTCCATTGCAAATTGAGGTATTTTGTATACGGGGCATTTAATTGAAATTTCAACCCAGGAAAGTGACTCTGCTTCAGATGGGAGCATTTTGAAAAAAGCATCCCACATCCAAGTGTTTTAGTTCACAAAGTTTTTTCAGTTTGCACACTCGACAGAAGACAAAGAACTTGCCAGATTACAAAATTTACCAGAATGTTTTTCACATTGTAGGGAAAATGCCTCGGTTACTGACACCAAGCATTGCAAAAAAGATGTGAAAAGGTCTTTCCAACATAAGGGTACCATCTCTCTTACTATGCACCAAAGCCACCAAGATGGAAATTACTGTACAGTCAACCCACAAGAACCTACGACACTAGCACACTTTGGGTGCGTTTGCGCAGTTACTCCTGTTAACACAAGTAGGATATGTGCACATTACACTTGGGTACGGGAGTAAACTCCCCCCCCCCTTAGTGAGAGTACACTCTTGTTGACCCTTGGGTCATACTCCAGCCGTTCGAGCGCTCCCCCCCTTAGTGAGAGTACACTCTTGTTGACCCTTGGGTCATACTCCAGCCGTTCGAGCGCTCAGGAGTATACTCATTTTAACACAAGTAGCCCGCTCGAACGTACCCCAAGTGTTTGGCTTTAATCCCGTCTGATCGTTGGCTTTTTATACACTGCAAGCCACTACCATGAAATGACCTCTAACACCATATCTTTGTGGATCCCGTACTGTTGTAAAAAGCAAGCTTCTACTGAAAATCGTGCAACACATTTCAAACTCAGTGTCGGTTACTTTCTTCCACTCTGCACTTTTAATAGACCGCTATAATGATACAGCCAGTGACTAGGCAATCATATCCATGGGGTGATTACCTGTAAGGCTTTCCAAAATATACAGTTTATTGCCACAAAAAACTACATAGAGGAGCCATTAGTGAATTTGGAAAGACCAACATATCCACTCTTATATGTCTGCAGACGTACAGCTAAATTAAGGCTCATGACAAATGGGCACAAAACATTACAGAATGCAACCACAACGAGAGTAAAGACGGATTTTGTCAACACTTGTCATAATTACTTCACTGACTGTGTCCACTACTCCCCCCCCCATGAAAGAAACAGACTGACTAAAAAATCTTTGTGCAAGATTTACCAACAAAAATTACAAGTGTCACATTGCAAATATTCAGCACAAATAAATCAATCTTCAGGATTGTCAGGTGAAATAGCATCAAGAGTTATCATTCCACGATTCAGTTTGAATTAAATCGTTGGATTGATACTCGGAACATATTCATAACAAATGAGTCACACGCAATTTTTGTCCTGGTCAAATCCACTTTTTGCATACAAAAGTAAACAATTAAAACTCACAAGGTCTGCTGTGAGGTAGATTCTTTCTCTGAAGGTACTGAAAGAAAAAGTTACTCGTAATATCTCATCCCAAGACAATGTAGATCTCCATCCCCACTCGCACCCAATGTACCGGTAGTCTGTAATGCCCATCCGCAGATACCACTCCTCTGAAATTGTTTCATTGCAGCATTTGCAAACATCCAGTTTCAAACAAGTTGGCATTTGTCATATGCTACAGATTACCAAAGAACAAAGTTAACCGAACACCCAAAGCAACTACAATATGGACCATGGATGGCCCAGTGTGCCAAAGAAAGCATTCATACAACACTGATCTGATCTTAAGTCTATGGCAGTCTAAGGCCGCATTTGAATCACTTGGCTGTGACTTAAAATTACACACGACTCTATGGGAACTGGCTGCAACCACCACCAAAGTTCCCAGCATAATTTAAGCCGCTGCCAAGTTATTCAGAGATGAGCTTAGCTTATCCAGAATTCGTTATTCTTGAAGTACATGTATTCCAAAATTTCATCTTGGTGCCATGTGCCTCCTTAGGCTATAAACAAAGCTCTACTAGGCCTCATGTCTAATGCATTACGATGAGCCATTTCTCAAAATTTACCACAATGGCAGGGGATAGAGCATAGTGTAGTGTCAGAATTTTACACCAAAAGACCTACTTCACAGACAAGCTTTGAAGGAAAAATGTTCAAAGGAAGCAGGCTTCCTGGAATTTACAAGTCAATTAAGTTTCAATTAACTGCACACACAGCTTCTAATGCAAATTCTAAACATGACAAGTTTTCCATCATGTTCATTTTTAAGAGATCCACACATTTTCCTCATACTGACATACTGCTTTTTAATAAGGCCAACCGGAAATGCTGTCATGACCTTAAAACATTCTCAGTACATGTACATGTATTTATATCTCTAACACTTGCATTTTTCTCAAGTCTTGTAAAACATACCTGATTAGCTTCTGCCATATGTCAAGTTGATTTATATTTTAGCTGCCAGTGTTGAAATGATTTCACTCCATTATCTTGGCAGTTTACCAACTCTCAGTTTTGCATGTTTCATTTTCGAATACATTCATGCATGATGTGGTAAGTTGTGAAAACTAGGCGGTATCCTGTCATGCATGTTATAGGACCCAGACTCTTTTCTAAGCTCCAAAGTTCCAAGAAACAAAGTATGACATGGGTTTACCAAACTAATGATTTGATTCATAAGTAATGAAATTAAGTGAGGTAGGCCTATGGCAAACTTCATCAAACCTGATGTCAGATGTCCTTTTCATCATGTCTATCTCAGACAACTTGATGCCCAAACTCTAAAGATTTCAGTTCAAGCTAAAATTTGGCATGACTGGAGCATCAGAAATGGAAGAGAAGTTTGCTGGGATATCACCGATACGTTGTTATTTGTTCATGAAAAGTTACAACACAAGCTGTGCTACTGACACTAAGAAATTGCAAATATATCTGCTATTCTATGATGGACATTTTGGCCCCATTTGTGTCACACACTCGGGAAACAATTTCAAAGAACTGCTATAAAAACAAGCAATAACAGGTCACCAACCAAAGTGCCAGTCAATATGCATACATCTTGTGACTGGTTCTCAGCCGTTTTGTGTTCTGCCCACAAAGCTGCTGAAAAACATTCTGTGAAATTGGACTCTGGCAAGTGTTTCCCCCTGCTCTTTGGAGTAATTTTGTCAGGATGCATGATTTACAATAATCTGTTCAAGGCCTCCTTGGCTTAAAATTCATTTGAACAATAAGCCGGTTTAAATGTACGCATGCACTGGTTCAGACAGTAACCCACAATGCTTTGTAATGTCAGAACTTTCTTCCCAAATTTCTGTGAATAGGATTAGTCCCTTCCAATGCTCCACAAAGGCAGTGGGTACAAGTGAAGTTCCCTTCAAGTAAAAGGCACAATAGGTTTGCGCACCCATGAAAGCCGATTGTGTGAACTGTATATGAACAAAGTACATCTGACAGAGGTTTGGCATGGTAGCCATCTTGCAGGGCTTTTGTTCCACAAGGAAGCTTCCCTTGTATATATTCTGTGGAACAAAAGCACTGGCCTGCAAGATGGCAATCTTGCAAACCCTCCTTACATGTCTGCAGCTCTTGTAAGAGACCACAATGTGCTACATGTTTGTACAATTTCTGAATAGAATCCAGTGACTTTTTGCACAATAATAAAATTCTATAAGGGCATCCATAGTTAATGCTATGATTCCAATATATTTTTTGGCACCTTGAGGGAGGGTTGGTTGATTTGGGACAAGGGAAAGCATTACTTGCTTGAAGGAACTCTTAAGCTTATCATTTTTTCTTATTTTTAAAATTTTAGACAGGGTCAGCAGCATAATTTTGTTTTCTTTTCCTTGGTCTGGGCTAAAAAAAAGTCTGTTTCTATTGGAAATGAAAACCACAGAATTAAGTACAGCTGCCCTAATATAGAACTTCAACAGCATGAATAAGACTAGGAATCACACTTGACATTGTACACTTCAAAGTGACATTTAATTTTAAGTTTGCACAAGCGACAAATCTCACACAGAACACGTTTACATGGACGAGTTACTGCACCAAATGCTAAGGCATCACAGTTCGACCAGATAATCCTGTTTGGAATTAGCCCCAGTTGGTTTAAATTACCTAACACAATGTGCAGTGTCTGAAGAAAAAGCCACCTTTTCTCTCTTGGATTGGAAATGGCCATAGTGGAATGAACTCATCAATGCTATACTTGCACAACTAGTATACCATGCAGCTTGCTGTGCATTTGTGTATTGAAGAACCCATGAAATATTGTAGAAGCTTGCCAGTTCAGCCTCACTCTCAGCTTTACTGAGCAAATTTACTTATGTGAATGTGCACTTCAAACAGTCAATCATATCCTTGACTGGTGTGAAGAATACAGTCAAACTTCCATTAGAAGTGTTACACCTCATCAGAGGTGAACAAACTAACTCCAAAACAAACTCTATTTTGCTTTTTCAAAATTTTGCTGTGAAGTCCACCTTCAAACACAAAGTCTCCTTAAAGACCAGCTGTATCTCTCTATGTTTTATTCAAATGAGCCAAATGCATTTCAAATTATTGAGAGAGAGCTACAAGCAATTGTAACATTAGCCGAACCTGTCCAAACCTGTCTACACCAGTAGAAATCTTCAGCTACCTAATGGCCAATAGAACAAGAAAACAAATCAAGATTTGTCAGATCTGTATTTTCTCCAAGCATGAGAACACCAAAACATGACACCTGAAAGTCTCCATGACCCTTATAGAATTTACTTCATGAGATTTGCATTGCTTTGTTGGCCTTGACAAATCATTACATAAACCCCTTAGTTCAAGGGAAGTCACGTTTAATGCAATATGCTCACACCCCAGATGTTTTACAGGTCTGTGACAAGTGGAAATCGAAGGCTGATTAACATAATACCATAATGCATATCAGTACCAACATTTGAATGATTTTTCAAGACTACAATTAAAAGAAGTCTGATTGAAATGAAACCTTGTGAAGAACTCATATTTACGGTGTTGAAAACTATAAGACTAAGTTTTTGTTCACACAATGGACTGTTCGTATAAAACCGTAAGTCACGGTGACATGACACAAAGGCCACAAGGTGACATGACACAAGGCCATGTACGTCTGAATAACTTGGCTGTGGCTAGCCTTGCCCATATGTTAGGCAGAGATTATGTTTTTTATCTTTTTCCCCTGACTCTTTGAATCAACAGCTTCATTTGAGCCTTGTAGTGAATTATTCATATAAGTTCATGATGTCACTCAGCCTAGAATTGAAAACAAAATTGGCATCCCAATCTCGAAGTCCGAAAATTTCTGTGTAAAATGCCGTGTTTAGGTGGTTGCAACATGCCTTTGAGACACACCAATAGATTATTTTTTACAACAACTACCCATATTCAGACATTTGTTGAGCATTCATCCTATCAGTTTCCAGTTTGAGGGAGAAATGGGCCAAATTCGTAGTACTAAAGTGAGCAGAGACATCATACATCATGACAGTAACTGTACTTTGTGCAACAATTTCAATTTCCGACCATGTGCGACACGGCGAAAATTAAAAATGGCTTAAATTTTTCAGTTATCTGTGCTCATCGCAAGTTCTTGGCTACTGTCCCAGACTATAGCAGGATATTTGTGAGTGTTTAACTCAAAGCATCAAAAATATGTTAAACATGATGTTGGTTGATGTTTCAGTTTGAAACATTTTTTGTGAAAATGAAGCATGTTGACAGGTTGAAGATTATTCAAATACCTTCCACTGATCATCACTCACGTGATATGAATAATACATATCCCACCATTATTACCATAGTCTGTTACCGCCCCTGGTCAAACAAATATCCAAGGCTTTCCTGTGTGGTTCAGGTTGCAGATCGCAGAATGAACTATTGAAGGTCTTGGAACCAAGACTAGGCTGTTGCTTGAAATCAAACACAGAACGACCTGACTTGAACTTGGACGAAAAGACTTGTGACTTTGTTGTGCTTGGACCAAATTGAATTGTTACTTGACTTGACCTGTGATCAAATGACTTGTGACTGGGCCAAATGACTTGTGACTTGACTTGGACTTGCGAATATTGACTTGCTACCACCTCTGCACATTCATGGTTTCCATAATGCTGGATTGTGCACTTCAGCCACGTTCATACTTCAGCATACTTCAGAAGAAAGCCAGAGCAAAGTGAACTTGAAGTTGCAAAACATTTACAGTGAAATTCGCTTGAGTTGAAATGCATTTTTGCACATTTGCAGTGTGAATATTGGATCTAACCTCAGCATTTCATGTTCGTGTTCATTCTTGTGCCAAGTACGAACCAGCCTTTACAGCCTGAGCTACATATGAATGCAGCAAAGAACCTCTGCACTAGCCTCATAGAACAAACGTCTTTACAAAAAAATACTATGGCCGTGTGCAGAAGCCAAATTTCTGTTAACCCATGAAACATGTAACCATTTGCATCATTTTTCATTAAGTGGTGATTTTTCACTTACTGCAAAAAAGATCCTTGTACATGTAACTGGGCCTTAATTCAACAGTGAAATGTAACATGTAAAAGGCTAATACCTGTGATACTGACCTATGAACACCAAAACTGTTCTGGGGGAAAGAAGGAAGATTTGTTTGACAAGGGGAACCATGAAAAATGGACGAGTTCAACCAACGACTGAAGTTAACCATAGTTTGACTGATGTCATTCGAATGACAGATGGCCATGAAGTTAACCATTTTGAACTACGGTCTAGGTTGCATCACTGGTCATCAATGTGCTGTTTTGTAAAGAAGCGGAGAGGGAACCACTGACCTGAATTAAATTACCGATCAAGATGGCAGAGACCCTAAATGCAACGAGAGATGCAACAAATGGCAAAATGTGACTGACAATGGGACAATGGTAAGAAACAAGTTACCCAGTCACTTCATTTCTACCAATACAAATACACTGATGGAGTAACATGTACGGGATCCGATGCAGACAAGTACAGCTTTGAGCAATGGGGACACGGGGGATCACACCTGTTCCATCAGTTCCTGCCAAGCAGATGGTTTGGCCTGTCACTTTGGCACTGGCAAGGCAGCAAAATGCTGGTTGGCATGGTAGGCGGGCTCAAGGCCTATATTGTACAGCGGGTGGATTTGTTTCTGTGAGGAACAAGACAAAAGCTGTTGAACGGCTGACGTTTGCAGTGTTTTCAACAAACTGCAGTCACAAGTTTATGAAGAAATGTTAAGTTGTACACCCTCAGCTCAACGCTAATGTCAGTTGTGTGGACAGAGCTGGGTCAATCACAGAACCTACTTGATTTATAGTTTTAAGAATTCTACTTACAAATTTCAATGACATGTTAAGAAACACTGACCTTCACAGGTACCGGTATACAAGTTGGAAAATCTCCAACTTAAAAACTAAATTCTTAGAAATGTTTACAAGCTCTTTGGACACCTGTCTGTCGATTAATATCACATTTGTACAGTTTTGTTTGCCTAATGATTGTTTCAAAGCATAGATCAGCTCTAACTAAGGTTGGGCGTTGTCTTCATTTACACTACAACTGACGTCCAGGGTATAAAACCTCCTGCCATAGCAGAATTTATTTCAACGTTTATTTCCTCACATTTTTACCTGGCGGATGCAGTTCAAATGTCAATCACAAGTGCCTTGTATCCCGAATTCCATAAACGCAGTGTTGGAATTACTAAATCTGCCCACGGATGACGTGTTTTGCAGGAAATTTAGTGCCACTCCACGCTTTCCATCTTGAACGATCTACATTCATCATTCTGTATACAAGTAGTACGCGCTTCCACATGCGCGAAATGCAAAGCAACCGACTGCCCCTTGTGCATTCGCAGAAGAGCTGTGGGCATGAAGGGGTCACAAATAAGGTTGCATCCAAAACAGGCTTCCAGAGCTATGGCCTGCTGTCCATGCATTTCCAGGAACTGCCAATGAAGCGAAGGCCTGCACCTAGCTCTAGACAACATGACAGACAGAATGTGGGCCGAGCTTTATTGCATTGAAGACCATTTGCACATGCACAAATGCGTACTAGATAAACATAGATTGTTCATGAATCGGGATGGAAAGCGTGAAGTTGTGCTAAATATCTGCAAATACGCCGTCCATGGGCATATTTACTAATTTCAACACAGCACTTATGGAATTCGGGATATAAGGCACTTGTGAATGACATTTGAGCTGCCTCCACCAGGTAAAAATGTGAGAAAAGCCACTGAAAAATTTTTGCTATGGCGCGAGGACTTTATACCCTGGATGTTAGTCACAATGCAATGTAGACAACGTCCACTGGGCTAAGATTAGCTCTAGCCTAAACAAGTGGAAAGATGTTAGATTTACAAGTTGATCACTTCCAAGAAAGAAATCTATGGGAACTTTCTTTCTTTTTTAACTCCTTCACGACGGATGACTGCAGACGCCGCGCCTGGAGAAAAGTCTAATTTCCGGATGTCTGCGGTAGCTGCATACCACACCTGCAGCTGTAGTTACTGGGAGCTTTGCACTGAATGGACATCTAGGGCAACTAGGAGAGTTGGTCAACCCCACGATACCCAGTAAATTGCATTTTATTCATCAGAACACCCGGCCCCCTTTGTCTTTGATTGAATACTTTGGGTAATCTCTGTAGAGTATTGCTGACTCCACTTTCATGGCTTATGCAACACACTTTGTGTGGGCCCGGAGCGCGATGAATACAGGCCAATGACATGGTGTGCACGCCATTGTTTACGGCCTTGCTGGGCCCTGAACACGTGCACTGCACCCCAGTACCCACACTCGGGAGCAAGGTCTGCCAAGAAGAAGGTCAAGACTTCATCCATTCAATGGACGGCTGATGACAACTTCCCCCGCTGACACCGCTTTCAAGGCACACGGGTGTTCAAGTGCAAGAACTGTTTCAAGGTTTATCAATCTTGAATCTTGTGTTTTTCTTGTGTCTTTTTATTTCATAATTATGGGAAAGATTTGGTTAAAAGGGGGCTGTTTTAGATATATCATTACATTCAGAAAGGCGGTTTGAATATAACTTGCAAAAAACAAAACTTAGAAATATGCAAGAAATTTATGTGCGTACATAGCGCAAGATGAAAAATGGGCAAATTTTACAGGTAATATTGACTGGGTATTTGATGAAATAAGAACTTGTGAAGTGCCCTCTATGTACAAGTGGGGGCTGGGCATTGATGCTGGGCATGCATGGACTACTGGGGAGCGGGAACACGAACCACGGTGCCTGCCTGTGGCAAGCCTGGACCTTGTGAACTTAGCGGGCGCTGCACGCTTCACTGTGGCCGCGCGTCATTGGGTAGTTAGTGTTCTCACGTGGGTAAGGCAAGTGCTGGGTGCCTGGTTATTATGTTAGACGGGATCCAGATACCCCAGCATGAATCGTGGCCACACAGAGCTGGGCTTTGTGCAGTGTGCGACCCAGCAAACTTGGCAGATAAGGCCTGTTGACCTTGCTACATGTCTGCGGTTGCCGTTAGCAAAATTGGAAAAAAAACCGGCAGCCAGGCAGGACGCGGTAAAAATATCCCGCCGTCAAGGGTTAAACTAATAGCACAGCAAAAGCAAGTGATTCACTGGGATACACTCTTCAACTTCAAGAACACATCAAAGTCTCACCAATTCATTTCCAGATGGTCCCAGTAGGGGCTTTTGGGCCATCTTCCCAGCAGCAAAATGTTGAGCAACAGATAGGCCACTCAAGCAGTAACACGTGTGGTAAAAATCCCGAGCCCTGGCAAAGGACGAAAAAGGTTGGATATGAGAGTCAATGATCACATTTCATGGAATGCATGGGGAACACTATTTCTCGGTCCTCAGTGCGATTTGAGCTGGTCTGCTGTCCTTCTTCCATAGTCATCCAACTTTGAAGTCGATGGTTTGAATCCCATCCAGATCAGCTGGAGTTGCTTTTCTTATCTGGTTGGCCAAGAGGTTTCTGACCAAAATAAATATTTGTGACCCAACCTAAATAAATAGTCACAAGTTCACTCGAGCAACTTTTAAGTGAAAAGCCTGTGAGAGAATCTTGCACTTAGTAAATTAATGGGAACCCTCAAATTCTTCTCCCATATACTGTCCCTTTTTATCAGGATGCCAAAATGGGTGATACATGTAAATCAAAACAAAGAATTCAATGTGCTCTTTTTCTTGCAAACCCAAAAAGAATTAACAAAAATAAGGCCTTAAAACTCATTTTGTGGGATCTGGCCATACTTTCTGTCCACAACAATCCACCACCAGCAATAGATAAAAATACTATCAAACCCAACTCTCTTGGGGTTGCTCTATTGAACAATTTCTCTCTTCTTTTGTTCTGTTGAATTCTTTCTATTTAATTCACAAGAATTTACCTTCTACTAAATACCTGATGCCACATCATTATATTTAAAGATGGTCTTGGCACGCTTGGATCACCTTGCTGAACCCAACAGAATCCCACGCAAAGAAAGTGTGACTGCTAAATCAAACAGTCTAATAAAACTTGCCCCATTTTGAAAATCGATGAATAACAAATGGTTAGTGTTCCTGCTTTGAATACTTCAATACTTTAACAGCCATTAAGACGTTTTAGACAATTTTTACAAGATTTTGGGAGTAGTTTGGGTGGTTTAGCCACCATTTTTGATGTCCCTTGAAAGTGATAGTCCGACAAACCTCCAACTAGTTTCCTGTAACAGAGGAGGATTTTTGAGGAATCAGGGAAGCTCTAAGAGAAACATGGCTGGGTTGAAAGGAATCTGGATATCTTTCGATAACCCTTGCCAAGACCAGCAAGCCAAGTTTAATGCGGCATACATTTGAAATACGTCTTCTGTGTACTTCATTTAAACTAGTGTAAAAGATGGGGTCTTGAAAATGAGTAAATTATACAAGATTTTTAAACCAACATTACGTTGCTTTTCTGCGTCCTCCCCAAAATCTCAATGCGCAAGCTGAAACCACTGTTCCCTATCAGAACCTCACAGCACACAAACAGTTCATCCAGCATACAGTACTTAATTCACAGAGGATGGAACCTCAGATTCATGCAACAAACCATTCATTCATCTAATATTTTAATCAATCAGCACCAAACCTCACAACACATTTTAATAAACTGCAGTTGAAGGTCACAGCCAATTAGTCAGTGGCTAGCAGAACTGAAAGAACTTACTTTCCAGGTTTGTCGATCAGTCCTCCATGTTTGTGCTGGCAGCACAGAAGAATGTACTCCTGTAATGACACTAAAAACACACAAAACCAAACTTTGAGATGCCATGAATACCTCAAAAACTCAAAATAATATTCCTTCCTCAAAAACACAAATGATGCTGGTGAAAAGTACTGTGATAAACTGTTGGTATCAGTGGCTGTCTCGAGTTTTTGTTGGGACACCAGTGATGCAGTGAGACATTTTTTTTTTGTCTTTCATGGGGGAGGGAGGAATAACCAGAAATGTTTTCTGAAATTTAGGAGCTGTGGACCATTTGAAAGGCGGCTAGGTGTCTTATGCAGCTGAAAATTACCAACAACCATTTATATAACAAACCCAGCGGGTTGGCACTGAATAGTTTACTGTAACAGTCCAGCTGGTGACTAGTACACATGAACAAAAATAAAATGTTTTGAGGATGGATGGTCAATTTTTAGTTCCCCAAGGTACTGGAAGTTGACAAACTACTTCCCGAGGCGAAACCAGAAAAAAAAAAACTTCCAAGGGAGCTACATAAATTTGACTATCTGCCCTAAAACCATGTCACACTTATTTATTGTACATCGGACATGTGTTCACATGTAGCTATTCGGCCATGCTAACACATGCATACTTTCCTTGTGCAACAGTTCCAAGAACTGTTGACAGGGAACCATTCACTACTAAATGTAGTGGACTTATGCGTAGATCCTCACATGTGTGCCAGGTAAAGAGCAGAAAGAGCACCTGGCATGTGATAATGAATGGACCAATGCGAGTAAGGCTCTCGATCATGATTATGTATGAAGCATGGCAATAAGTAACACTACAGTTTATGCATGTAGCAACAGCTCTTGATCAAGATCAATGAATCAGAGACTGAGTGCCAAAAATGTCTAATTCTTACAACGAGCGGCATTTCGGGGAGTTGCATTTAAACCTGTTACCTGTAGATAACCATAAACACAACAGTGTCAATGGTGGCACGGGTGGCTTGTGCATAAAGCACTCGCCTGCCACCACTGAATTCCTGTGTTTGATTCTTAGCCTGGGCAACCTGCCCTGAGATGAAGTGCATCCTCATGCCCCTCATTGGTACATGAGAGACAAGCTGGTGGGAACACACACGATGACCATATATTCCAAAATAAATTGGTTGCGCATACTTACAACGCCCTGCCCAAACATGCATACTGTGAACCTGCACATTCACACAGTGAGTTCCCATCAAAGGACCGTCGTTTCCATGTCAAAACACACCCTCTCTTGTTCCCGCTCGGACTGGACATGTGAGTAGAATTGTTAGTTAAGTCTCTCTTGTACCACAAGGGTTATTCCTCCCTCCACAAAATCAACACTTACTACATGTATCTCTGGCTTTGCTACATGGGCAGACGTGGGTCTTTTGCAGCTACACGAAACACCTTAGTTTAGTGTTTTTATTGTACAATGCATTTGAACACAGATAAAGTTTGTGCTTTATAAATGAATACATGTAAATGAAATTATAATGGTCAATGATGTCAGTCCTATGCAGATTTATTACAGCCATGTGTACGGCAGTTTTCTCCTAAGCAACTTTGCAAACTACATACTTTGGTCAAATATCCAATCGGTAGTGCTGAGCGCAGTGTCGTCGTGAGATCCAAGTATACTGTGGATGAGAGGATAGGTCCCAGCTTGCCAGAAGGAGTAACAACCATCCACTAGTTTGTTGGTCCGGCCCTGGAAACCTCCTTCATACCTCATCTGTCGGTTACTCAGCCATCTCTGCAATATCAAGGAGTGAAATAAGGGCCTGTTTGTTTCACATGGATCAGGATCTCGATCGGTGATCCCAAAGCTGGTTTGCTTTATCCATTAGGCAGGTTCTAGTGTCAGTGAACCAAAGTCGAATCACTGATCCCAATCTGCACAAATCAGAAAAGAGCTTGTAGATCAACCAGGCCCTAAATATTCAGAATTTTGAAAAAGATTGTAATACAGGTTGTCAAAGCTGCTGATGACTTCACAACAAAGACACTGACATATATCACTAATGACAAGATTGAAATTGTTACAATGAATAAATGTACTACATACATGTACATGGGAACAGTCAAACTACAAATATCTGCACTATTGGCGGAAGAGGAGGGGGACAGGATCCATGGATTTGCAGAACGGGGGGGAGAGGGCAGGATCCATGGATTCTCAAAATGGGCAATTTATAGTTGTTATTGTTACTGACATATAATGACAGTAAGATGATCTTGAAGGTAAAGTGTATTTCCCTTCTTTCCTAAAGCATGTAAAAATCCCCAAAATTTCACCTCTGCCCTTAGAAAGGCCAAAAATGGTCAAGATACCAAAATTCCAAAATTCACTTCCTACCACGACACATTCTGTCCCCCCCCAAAAAAAAGGGGAGAAAATGACAAATGTTGGTTCTGGATCTGCATTTGATCAAGGCCAGCCTAGAAGTTCCTGACAAAACTGAAATGACTAAAATGATCTTGGGAATGTCTGCCAGAAATAAAACCACTCACCAGCAATGCCTCAGTGTCACAAAGCCTCTCATGACCGAGTAGCACCAAGGCAGCTACACTGCAGAAGGAGTAGCCACCGTGGGCCTCCATACCAGGCTGGCCTGCAAAACCTCCCTCATATGATTGACAACTACCAGGTAGAAATGACATCAAACAACATACAAACACGAAAACCAATGACAAGGCTATCGGTGGATCACTTTGCATTTTGGAGGGCATCAACTCTTTTTTCCTTTTACTTTCACAGGAAATATGGGCGATTCACAATAGGGCACCTTCAAGAGTTTGCAATGCGTTGACCAATCAAAGTGCGCGAAATCTATCGACCCTTTCCAAACGCCAGGGATGAAACTCAATTTCCCAAATATCCTGAAATCCTAAAAACCATGAAATATCAAGGTGGTTGTCAAGAGGGCTTTTTTTATATGCGCGCAAGTCGTGTCCCTGTGTGATGTCTGTAGATGGATATGTTCTATAGACTACTCACGTCAGCTCATTCTGCTCACAATTTTTACATGACACGGCACAAGATTTAGGCTAGCTACAACGTGTATTTTCACCAGGGATGGACAATCAATGAAAATCCGGGAAATATATTTCTGCCGCGCCGATATCTGGATTTGCGGATAAATCCGGGTAAGTTTCATCACTGCGATTGGTCAATGCCTTCCAAACTCTTGGAGGTGCACAATTTTGAAATGCCCGTATTATTTGCAATCTTACTGATTTCCACAAACACTCTTGTGTAATTCTTGTAATGCCCACTCTCATTTGTTCTAATCTCTTCGAAAACTGTAAAAGATTTTTCAAGGGATTTTTTTCCCTCTTTGTTTTAACTGTTGAAAGTTGACAGACAGACCAAACTTCTGATGTATATGTGTGTTAAAGGTAACATTGTAACTTCCTAGACTAGTCAGTGCTCAAGTACTTCACAAATGAACTTTAGACATTTTGGTCTGGTATCCCAGATCCCATTATCTTCTTTTTTACAGGGACTTCTTAAATCTGAAGGGTCTATTACCAATACGTGATGTACATGTATCTCTCAAACATCGAGAAAGTTTCCATCATTATGGAATGTTGAAGAAAAAAAAACCCCAGTGGATCAGGTGTACCAAAAATTCATTAACTGCTGTGAAAACAGTAGATCAGGTGTTCCCCTAAATTCATTAACAGCCGTGTTGTTTCATTTAGTTGTGTTTAACTACATGTACATGAAACCCATTAAAAATGACTTTGGGTAGCCAGGAGAAGGTTAGACTCCAAAATGACATTTACTGCAATTTGGAAATATACAATTCAGACATCACTCACCCGGCCAAAAAAAACCTTCTCTCACCTTGCAATCCACTCAGCTGTGCCGTCAAACATTTCAGGAGTTGCCACATTGCTTATCTTGGCTGCAACAGCTGCACAGTAAGCTCCCCTACAAAAAGCAACCACTCAACTTTTAGGATCTATGGACTTTTTAATAGTGTGAAATTAAGAGAGCATTTTCAAGGTGGCTTCAAGCAGCCTTTTTAATTTTATGTACAGGGATTTTGTGTAACTCTGAATGACTGTTATTGGTATATCTAAGCTCCAAAAATACTGTACAGGTACACGTATCAGTAGGTAACTTCTGTACACATGACATTTCTGCTAACCTACCCCAGAACATTTGCAGATTTTAAAAATAATGACAACTTAAGATTACACTATGCTCAAATCCCAAAATATCATAAACGGTAATTAGTAGAAACATCAAATCAAAATAATTTTTATTTATATGGCATTTAAACACACCATTTAATAGGTTGAAATAAATGGAAAGAGAATTTTTTGAGAATAATGATGAATATATAGGCATGGAACATGGTAAAACAGTAAAAAATCACAAATGTAAAATGTAAAACTATTCAATACACCCTAAATAAAATAATTGTCAAGATTAGATGGACCCAAATTAATTGAAAAATAAGTATTATTAGCTTGAATATATTGTGGAACCTGTGATTTATGCATAAATCATGCATGACAAGCTCATTAATTTGATTAGCAGGAAGTGGAAATGCGTCATTCTATAAATTTGAGGTCCAAAGTGTGCCATTTTCATATCCCTGTTACACCTAACCCTGTGCAATTTTTTTCAATTTCACTTTGATCAATGAAACCACAAGGGCTATCCACCACAAACCAATTTCAGGGTCCAAATGATTTGTCACTATGACCCTGGAACACTTACATGTAAGTTCTTCACCTAAGTGTGGCAACCATGACAACCACCATAACTAGCTGAAAACTTTCCTAGGTCACAAGAGGAAATTTATGTTTCTGACAGGGTGAGAACTTCATAAGTTATCATGTATTCAGTATCACAAAGATTATGATACAATATCAAACAAAGGTCTTCTAACAAATGGCATGAAACATATCAAACAATTGAATTTATCACTAGTAAGGAACTTTGCTCTGAAGAAAAACAACTGGTTATAACTCAAATAGTAAAGATCATGGTCACAAACAAGTTGAATGTACATGTACATGTAGGTCTCTCTATTCTATCTTTCTTGAGGGGTTTCTGAACTGCTTTAATTTGTAGTCAGATCCACCTGCTGTATAAACTGCAAACAATTTTACCCTCATTTCTTTTTCTTCTTCTTAAAGTTTCTTTGCTTTCTGTTTCATGTTTTTAACATATACAAAAAAATCACAACATAAAATTTGGGTCAGCCTGACCCGATAACAACTTTTGGAGTGATCACAGCCACTTGGGAACACCAACCATAAAACACCTGTGGCTTGTGACCCACAATGGTACTGAATAGGTACTCAAAAGTTCAGGCATTGAAGCACCCTACAGGTAGGAGAGCATGCAGGAGTCTGCTGAAGCAGGACAGAGGAAACAGACAGCATTTGGGGTCACTCTACCGTGCAGTGTAATGGACCATGTAGCTATGCAACTCAATCACAAAGAGCACTGTTCCTGGCTCAACATTTGACTGCATTATGGAGTTTAATGCATTGGTGTGTGATGGCAGACAGTTGTAAGCTTTAGTACTTCTGAGAAGAACAGAAGTTCTCAAGATGGCTGTTGGAAGTGTAAAGAGGCATACGATGGGCTCTTTGAGCAGATTAGGAGCTTGTTTGGTATGAGTTGCCAGGTGATAAGTGCTACAGGTGGAAATAAGGAGAATTATGACGGTTCAAGCAATCAAAGCCTCATAACATCAAAACCATACTGTGGCCGTGGGTCTCATTGAATATTATGAAAACTGTTAGTGATTTCAGCTTGCCAAGCAGGAATTGAGACAAGAATGGACAAGTTTTGAGAAACTTGGGTTGCAAGGTAAGCACTTTCATAAAAATTGATCATAGCCTACCTGTATTTAAATGTACTTGTAACCAATTCCTCACTGATGTGTACTACTCTATTGTGAGTTCTGTCTTGTGATAACTCATACACTTCCACAACAGTACCACCAAAAGAAAGGGGGGGAGGTTGAGGAATTTTTATTGATAAAATTGGACCATAGTTTTTAGGACAAATTCCACCGTGCCACCTGGACCCCAAACCCAGATGTTGGCTGTACATGTACCACTAGATGGTAAAGTATAATGTACACTGGGTTTAAACTGGAATTGTCAAAAGTTTATGGGAAAACATTTCAAAAGTTGCATCCAAACTGGTTCGCAAAAATTAGTAACAAAATATTTCCGGCAATTCTAGCATATGACTCAAGCATCCCTGAAGAGGGGTTCTGTGTAACTCTAGAATGAAACGATTAATGGAATACTCCGACTAAATTAAAACGAGTAACAAGATTATTCATTGAATTATCTAGACACAGTCTTTAAGAATTTTTGTTTCCTCATTTTTTTTTTAATTTTAAATCTCATCCAAAAAAACCTCAGCTACCTGTACCAGTACATCCATCAATTGGAAACAATTTATACTGTTTGGAGGATAAGGAAAGGTGGGGTGGTACAGGGTTGGGTGATTTAATTAAAACTGTTTGTTTTCCTAGTAATGAAAAAGTTCATGGATTAATGGAGCCAACTGTTGTTTTAAGTTGAATAGCAGTTAGTACTGCAAACAAAATCTACTGAGCAGTATCTAAGTAAATGTTATTATTTTCAACACATAATCTACAATCTTTCATCATTTGTTTGTTTAATTTTTTTTCATATCCTATGAAAAACCTTGGTCAAAGACATAACAGAAGGTTAAAACAGTGTTTTACTGCTGTTCACACCAGCTCTGTGGAAAAAAAAGTTTATGACGAGGAAAGTTTTGTTAAATGGATACTGACTGGCTATAGAGAGGAACTAGAACCATGAAAGCTCAGCAATGTTGAATTCAAGTTGAAGTTTTGTCAATCATGGAGATTTGATTTTACAAAGTCCTCTGTCAAGAAAATAGACATCGAAAATTCTCACTATTTATCTGAAGAAAGGCAGCTGTGTAGACACAACTGCAATAACATGTATGTGTAGATTTAGATGTCAACAGTGCATTTCACATTTAAGAAGATGAAATACGACTGTCAAAAGGACATATTTGGGCAGTTTGAGTGTGAAATTACATTGCATAGAAAGAAGAACGACGGGAACAAGGACAATCGTGTTCACGAAAATGTGGTAATATTACAGTTTCATCTGGGTTGTTTTTTCACTTAGAACTAACTTTCATGTTGATTTTTCTGAAGTTTTTAGTTACACTTTTCAATCAGAATTGGGCTATAGAAAAAAGAAGACAACATGGACTTCTGGAAAAAAAAAAATTACTGATTTGGGGAAAGGTTTGAAATAAATTCCTGCAAAGCTTTTGCGTTTGAAAAATGTTTTTTTTTTTGCACCTTTAGTCTTTTTGAAGACAGAGGGCTTGGCTCAACCTTTCTAAATGGTCTTGATTCCCTCACTAAGATCAAATGGCAAGGTACCGTATGCATTTAAATTAAGGAGAACTACCGGTATATGAAAATGAAGGCAAATTCTCTGCTAGATTTAGGAGCAACGGTAGGGGCTCTCGGGGTAAGCAAGGAGAATTTCATTCAGCACAATGCCAACCCGCCTTGGTGTACATCATCAATAATTAGCATGGATTTACACATTCTCCACATTGATTTGTCTTGTTGCCTGTACAAACATTCTCATGCTTCAAACAATCGGTAACAGTGTACAGAGATTGTGGTCCTTAGGTCGATGTATGGAGTGCTTATAGTGGGTAGAAAGTATTGATCTCTACCGATAGCATTGTACTTTGAAGCCAAAGTGGCCTGTAGTGTACACAGTGTGCGCGACCTGCACTTTACACGAGTGCGCTGCAAACAGTAAGGTCAGGAAATCGTACTGGCATTTTCACCACACTCCTCTGTCATGTACGTACAGTACATGTACATGTGTGGCTGCCTCATGCTAATGAAACATGTTACTGGCAATGACAGGCTGATCCACAGTAAAATCAAGAGGATTCAGTTTATTTCAAAGATGTCAACAGGTGGATGTGAATGCACTGATGATGATGAGCGTGAATATCAAGTCCGCCTGAGCGTGTGCCAGAGATGTACCATAAATAGATCTCTGCATATGCCTGGTGCATGTATGATACACTCTGGGCTAATCTCAGTCGGAAAGGCCACAGACGGCATCCATCTACTGCACCTACTGGTACCAATCATTAATTAATGAACTGCTATTGGGATTGCTAATGCAGGGCCACACAATCGGAGCAAGCAGCTGACTATCCACAGGCAAGCTGTTATCTTGCTCTTTGCTGTAACTGGTGTTTTGGCCCATAGTCAAGTTTGGGTACTTGAGGAATGTGACCAAATGACCAATGTGCATCCAAATGATTCCAGCCATGCCATGACTTCGAACAGAAAATTACTGTTGTACATGTACATGACTGTAATTCAGGTATCCAAGAAGTTGCTTTCCCTTGTAACCTGGACTGATTTCAAATTACAGGACACGTACTAGTCAATTTGCACTCTGCACTTTTCTCTGAAAGACTTGCAGATTTATGTCCAATGACAGGGATTTACAACATCTTATGCCAAAGTTAGTCTGAATGAATTTCTTTCTGTTGTAGGGTTACTGACAAGGATTTCATGATGGATGGCACAATGATTTCCCTCTTTAGGGATTATGAGCATGGCAGGAGATACAAAGCTGAGCGGTTGTCACAGGGTGGAAATGACACAGAGAATGCTAGCACCATGCCAACTCTTCTCCCTCGGACTCTGGTGACACACAAGCACCGCAGGGGCAAATCTTATCCCCAAGTGGAGATATCCCGCCGGCTGCTGTGCACAGCCACCCCACCACCATCTCTCCAGTCACAATCCCTGCCAAAGATAAATGCCTGTGGCGATGCTGCCCGGCAACAGCATCACCATAGCAACCCTGTGTCCTCAAAAGCCGAGCAAGGTACGGTCATCCCATCCATCAAGTGTTGCACAACTCAGTCCTTGCCCTCACTCTCACACTCAGACTCAAACTTCCAAAGGAAAAAGTTGGGGAAGAAGACACATAAAGACCCCCAGAGGAGGTCAGCCTTTAATATCTTCAAGACGTCACGACAGGAGCGCCATACCGCTGCTCGCTGCCAGAATTTCAGCTGGGACTTCAGTCCCCGGACTAGGGAAGTTCCAAAGAACAGCACGGACACCAAGGACAGATGCCTTCAAGGTCCTGCACATGTGAAGGGTCCAAGACCGGTGCATTTGTACATGAGTGTAGAGATGATGGGTAAGATTTGGCAACCAGATTGTATACAATACAATCTTTAAAAATAAAGTGAAGACCCAATTTCCATTTACATATATTTATCAGAGTCATGGGATCAATGAATTGATTACATGGAGAAAAATCTGTCATAGTTACGTAAAACTATCAGTTGAAAATAAATCAATACTAAAGCTTTCATGTGTTAACAAAGACATCTATAATGAAGAATCCAACAAAAGAGGTCATAAGTGCAGTTAGCACCATGCTCCTGGACAGGTGGTATGTGAGCATCTTGCTTTTTCAACAATTAAGCTGTTGTGATTTGCCAAGTGTGTGTGAGTGTGTTGCCAGTGCAATGATGGTGTCTCATTGGATTACTCTGTGTGTACATGTATAGGAAATTTTGAGTACAGGTGCACACTTACAATGTAGTTCGTTCTTTAACTTTTCGTCAAGATTTAGTACTTTGAATTTAAACTTGAGAAGAATGCTCGCTTCATATACATGTTCATGTACAAATTTGGAAGGTTCTCATGCTTTTTTATGCCTTTAATGATCTAAGTCATCAAATGTAAAAACTGCTTGTTGCAAGGGGTCGCTCTTTTTACCAAATTTTTCATGTTTTGTTCACAGACAAAGTCCTTGAAAAGAGGAAGGGTTTGCGGTCAGACGAGCTGCTGAACGAACTCATTGGATTACCTCCGAGCCAAATTAGAGTTTCTACAAGTCATGAAAAGATAAGACAACGAAAAAAAGAAAAAGTAAAACATAATACAATAAACGGAAATCCAAGTCAAGAGACACAACATCAAGACGATGCTGCTAGAGATCAGAATCAAGCCAATTGCAAGAAAGTAACAACTACATGTACTAACAACCATAATAGTGAGATGCACAACACAACTCGGGAACAGCTACCTGATGAGAACTGCCACAGCAATGAGATGGAGACAGAGACTAAGACTACATGTGAGGACAAGATGGAAGATTGCTATGGCAACCACATGGACGGAGAGTTCCAAGATGAGGACGAAGAGGAGTTGGAAGGACTAGGCAGCAATGAAGGGAGTGATGTGTTTGATGGCTGTGAGGATGATACTGAAGACAATGGAGATGTGGACGATGAGGAAGGGGAGGAGGTGAGCCAAGACGAAGACAGTGAAGAGCAAGAGGGGGATTCTGACGATGAGGATGGCTTTGCCGATGCAGAGGCACATGACGATGGTCCAGAAGATGACGTTAAACATGAAGAAGATGGAGAAGACAGTGATGATGATGGTCCAGAGGCTGAGGGACAAGACAAAAATGATGGAGGTAGGGAAGGAGAAGAGGATGACAGTGAGAAGGAAGATGAGGCAGAGGAGGCAGATGAAAATGATGAGGAAGAGCAAAGAGAGGATGGGAAAGATGACGATGACAATGAAGATGATGACAGGACAGTTGCAGATACTGAGATGGAAGAAGTATTGGATGAACAGGAAGATGGCATGTCTGATGATGATAATGATGATCAGTGATCATTCTATAAAGTTAGATTTATATTTCCAAATAGGTCACTTGGGAGACATTTTGTGGTAAATTTTTCAACATTAGGGAGACATCGGTCATTAGGCAGACATTTCAATGTCTCCCTAATACTCCAACTACCAAAAGGAGGAAATTTGTTAGTGTCCACATTTTGAGAGATAATAGATTAGGATCTGAAAGGAAAACATGCAAAGTTTGGTCAAGATTGGATTAGGGAATATTGAATTATTGGACGTTAAAGTTTGAAAAATTTCGTGCACTTTCCTATGGGAATGTCTCCCAAGCGACCCATTTTCCGTAATACATATTTCTGAAACATCTGTAACAATAGAAACCATTTGTATAAACAAATTCTGAATTATAGAACACTGTACACGTATGTATTTTTACTCATACTGTTTAAAGAGTTCATACAAGTACAAAAACGTTTTTCCCCATCAAAATGATCTTTGTCTCTACTCAGTGTACATGTACTCTTAAAACTTGTAAATGTACATGTGTGTACATGTACCGGTACTTGTATCGTAGGAAATGTACATGTACATGTATATTGTTGTTACTCAGTGTTGAAGTTCTTGTAACTTTTCAACAGTTTCAAAGATCACATTTATGTACATGTTCAGGATGTGTACTTGTACCGGTAAGTAGATTTTCTAGGCATAGGGTGACAGTGTCCCCTAAAATACAGACTGATTGATTTCACACATGTACATGTACCGGTACCAGTACAATGCTTTAAACTTGTCCAATTTTTTTCAATTGCAGGGCAACTTACAAGTAGTAAAACAAAACTACATGAAATTACCACGGTTGTACATGTATGCTTCATACAAAGCCAGGGTTCTAGCAGCGGTGGGCGGCGCCGGGCGGCACCACCTGGTACAGCGAATTTCCGCACTCAGGGTTGAAATTGGCTGTGCCACCCAGCACGGATTTTCCAAAAAATGAACTGAAATATTACTGAAAATTTAAATGTACCAATTCGATCGTATTTCAAGCATCAGAAAGCATTAAGAACTGCGCTCACTATGCTTTGTAATCCAAAACCAAAACTGTACAAAGCCAATTTGATGTCCGATTTTATTTGACAGTTAGTAAGGTAGTGTCAAATTATATTAAATGCTTTGACCTTGACCTTGTTCAAACTTTTATAATGACCCACTGAATGCAATGACACAAGCAACACCAAGCAAAGATTTAATGAGCTATGCTGAAATCAATAAACTGTATCAGAAAATGTTTTTCACCAGATCTGGTTGGATTCAGGAACATTAAATCATTTCTGTTCTTTTTAGACTCAAAACTCTGCATGTAAAACAACATTCAGATCAGGTGGTCAGTCCGACACCTTGAGACCAAATGTAGTCAGTAAGCCTTCTACAAAAACAAAATGTTGTCAACAGAAGGAATGGTGTGAAAATGAATTAAGAAGAATGAGAACTACGAGTGGATAAAAAACATTCAGTTTATCACTTTGTGGAACTGTGACATGATGATAGGCAGTGCAGATATTTTTAATAAAAATTACAATCCAAATTAAGGACTGAAAGAAATAAAGACTATGGTGTACACTCAAACTGGACGAAGTAACCTCACTACTCAGTATAGATGTCAAAATTAAGGAAAAGGTACTCAAACCCATATCCTCCTAGACACTCCCAGAGGTGGTAAAAAATCATTTTTTGCAAGTCCAAGTCAAGTCACAAGTCATTTTCTACAAGTCAAGTCACAAGTCAAAAACTGCTAGTTACAAGTCAAGTCATGAGTGACACAAATAGCGACTCGAGTCCAAGTCAAGTAACTGGAGTCTACAACTCCTAACAATCCAAAATCACACAGCAGCAGAAGAGTATTATACCCGGGGAGGCGAGGGTGAGCCTAGCCACTGCAGCACTGGTACATGTACTAGTACATAGCCTTGACATTTGCTGAAAGTTACATGTAGTCTCCAACTAGGGAGAGCTTTGGCAGAGATTCTGGGAGAATTCAGAAAGTTTTTAAAAAAATGAGAGCTGGGGTTAAACCAAAGATTTGACATTATTTCATAAAGTCTTACATGTGAAATTACTGATTTAAACTTTTTCTGTTTTAACAAATAGTCAATATTAATATTAAGGTTTAACGGTAACCTTCAAAAGCTCCTGAAAGTTTTGGAGAATTTAAGATTAACAAAGAGCCAAGCCACAGTTTTAAGAACAATCTGCCAGCTGGAGTTGGCATTTTTGAAGTTTTAGGAATGCTTTAAGCAAAGCTGACAAGCAAGTTAGGGTTAGGCCTGAGTAAGCATGAGAAGTCACGTGTCCAACAGAATGCAGTCATACTTACACGGGTACTGTACATGCAAGTGTGGGGGAAGTGACTGAACGCACTGATGAAATGTTAAAGATAATTACATCCCTAAATGGACAGATGAGGTGAAGCAATTTCTAAGGTGCATGCAAAATTTGGGCACAACTTGAGGCAGTTTGTGGCTGCAACTCTGAACAAAGTCAGAACAGGGCTGTAGCACTTACCTTACATCAACTTCACCACCATCGTGCATACGGAAAGCGCCCTCTGGTGACCGCATCCTCATCAGAAAAGACTGTAACTTGGGTCTGCAGCAAACATTCAAAATACATTTCTCTCTGTCATTCTTTATTTTGGTTTGCCCGAAAGCACTTCAATAACAACCAACTAGTATGTAGAGCCAACCAACAGTTCTAACCCCAAAGTCAAGATAAGGCTTCCTCCTTGTAAGCTCATTATACCAAAGGCCATCCCAACAAATGTCTCATGTATGCAACTTTTATTTAATTCCACAAGGCCTCCATTGGTCAACAGCTGTCATCTGACTCAAACATGTTGGACAGATGTAACTGGGTGATCTAAATGTAGTTAATTGTACTGGTAGCATAGTTAATTGACCAATCTACATGAATACGAAAGACACTTGCTGTGCAAATTTGAGCTCCTTTTCCATAGGATCCATCTTCATATACATGTCCCAATTTGTTTTAGCATCAGTTTGGAAAAATTCAAATCGATAACCAGATTGATGGTCACCTTGATGAGAATAGAATTTCAGAAGATTTTGATGGGCCGTGAATTTATATTAATGGCACAAGACACGTCCACTGTTTGTTTATCTGACAAATATTCAGCCTTACATGTAATAAGTCTGGTGTATCCATCGTATGACAGCGGTAACACTGGCTTGTCACTCACATGGACTGATATGCCTGGTATTCATCATGGATATTAAATGGCATGGATATTAGCTGGCACATTGAAGACTATGTGCCACTAAGGGACTGCTAGCCGGCGTGAAGACAGCCCAAGCCACTCCCCATCAGACGAACATCTTACATGTAGATTCAGAAACCTTTGCAAAGTTCCTGGCAGGTTTAGCAACAATGTATCGGGAAAACCACAGCCTTCTGTTGGCAGCTTGCATTGCTCTTATAGTTGGCCTGCTGGGCACCGATGCCATCTGCCTGGACTGTCCACCAGGATGGGCATACTACAATCAGTCATGTTACATCCCTTTTATTAAAGGCAGAGTCACTTGGATGAGGGCACACCAGAAATGTGCCAGTTTGAATTCTCAGCTACTGGAAATCAACTCGGAGGAGGAGGCACACTTTGTAAGACGAATGATGGCACAATTATTTCCTAATTCAAGATCAACACAAAAACGAATCTGGCTGGGCTGTAAGAAGATTGATGGGAGGAAGATGTGCTCTGAGCATAATCAACAGCAGCTGGCTTTGTCACTTAGCAATGGACAGATATGCACCGTGCTTAGTCCATTCATTTCAGAGTATACTGACATACCTTGCTCACGTCGCAAACGTGTGCTATGTGAGAAACAAATACAACATGTGCAAAGTCACGCTCGCTGTCAAGCGACCACCAAGCGTGATGCCAACCTGACCATACCCCTCTGCCTGCTGGACCACTTCTACATGACCACCCCAATAAACCATCTGATACAATGCTGCAAGGCCTGCCACAAGGATCCCAACTGCCGCTCCTTCAACCTGTTAGGGATGATGTGCTACCTCAACAACGTCACCATCTCCCAAGTCAAGGCCAGGCAGTACATTGCAACCCTCAACAACTGCGTACACTACAGTCTGGAGAGATTCTACACAGTAAGTTGACATTCTACTGCACAGTACATGTATACGTTTAATATGCACAGAGCTGTTTTCAACTTTCGTTGAGCACCACTGACAGACTGCCCTTTTGTTAGCAATTTGATTCAACAGCCAGAGCAAAGGAAGAGACCAGCACAAGGTCAGCAAGAAATTTGGACTGCACAACAAGAAATGCACTGCAGGGATTCCGCTGTAAGTTCCACACAAAGGAATTTCATTTGGCAGGCAATGAGAAATTATCTTACTGGTACTTTTATGACAAGGTGTAACCACTTTATGGTGAAGTGAAACAACTGATTACCTGTGAATGAGAAACTAGCACGACTTATCGCATGAGAACCTCATGAGACAGTATCTGTCATCAGTTGCAGAATTATACGTAACATGCAAATTGGATGTGACATACATACATTAATACAAGCTTCAGTACATGTACATGTACCAGTATGTTTTTATTACATGTGCATGTACACGTATATAATCCATAGCTTGTTTATATGATAGACTCATTTAAAGTTTGTACAATCCAGACTAAAAACATTGTTTCTATACCACGACATCTAGTACAGATAGCACCAGTAGTGGGAAATATTAAAAAAGTTTAAAGAGCACCTCCTAGGAAAACATGCTTTCTCTGATTTATGTGTTCAAATACGTTGTAAATATGGAGGCATGAACAGAAAAAAAGCCCTTTTAAGCTTGTTATAGTTGAGCTCTGAAGACAAATGGCACTGCATTTGATTTGGACGCTTCCATATTTATTTGAACAGAAAAATCACTGAAAACTTTCCTTAGAGGTGCTCTTTAAGAGTGTGGATGCTGACCCAAGACTACACTACTTTTTAATCTCCCTTCCATCCCCCCCCAATTGCCACCAGTAGCAACATTGTTCATAATGGGTAGGAATGGAACATGGGCACCAGACCATTCAGAGGAAAAAGGTTGCTGGTCATGATATACAGCTGACTCTCAGACAGGCACTGTTGTCTGCAGTTACTGGTATGTTTAAAGCGACAACCATTTGATGATCATTGGTCGATTTTCCTTGGTAACCCATTCATACATGTAAAATACATGTACACCATGTATACCCTGGATGCTACCAGGCAAAATCAGCCAGCGGATGACAAGTGGTTATTTGAACTTACCCAACAGATACATTCCCATGTGGAATAATGGCAAAAAGGACGCTGTCATCAAAACTCCCAATTTAATTGTGACCTGGGATTATCCGAGCATCACCTGATTAGGCCACAGTCCATTTACCGTACTGACAAGTTTATGATTATTTTTCAATCAATTGATCATTCTGTTATCAATTACGGTTCTAATTAACTGAATTTCTGGGTTTTTTTCCATTTGCTAATTTTCACACAAGATTTAATCAACAATAACAAAAAGCAGGCGACCATTTTAAGATTCAATATGGAAAACACTGTCTTGCATGTCATCCACATAAACTTTTCTGAAAAAGTTTCCCATAAACAATGTTTGAGATTTTGCTTTTTAAGATGTTAATTATCACCAAGTGGCTATTGATTAATTAAAGAGAAATATGTGACCAAATACAACACAAATTATTTGACTGTTTAAAAAAGTACTGGCGTGACACATGTACTTCTAGCCCTGCACTGTATGCTTGATATAACAAAAATATCTCCACACTGGGAACTTATTCAAATTTCAAAACTACGAGGATAATTAAAATACATGAAATTAAGGATATAAGACTGTTTTCTAAATTAATTAGTACGAGACTTATTGCTAAGGCTAAGCTGGTCTATGTACACGTACTTCAAGTTCTAACGCATGTGACCAAAATGTAACATTTCATTGTATTTCTGAGCATGTCAAGCCATGCACACCGTAAACATGTACAGACATGATACTCTTAGGCTCAATATAAAGTACAAATACGTGCAATTACATTGTGACTAGTGAAACAAAATTTGATTGCATGCAATCACTGGGAAGAAAACAGTAATATTTATTGGATGTACATGAACATGTATGTTTTCACAATTAAAAACAAGTCATTTTATCTAAGAGTCAATGTTACAATAAGGAACCAAAGTATTGAATAGTAATCGCTTGCATTGCTTCAATGTGCTTATAATGCAATATAGATCAGGAACTATGTTCCACAGCTGAAATTGTGCTTTAATACATGTACATGTATGTTATTATTTTGATTTAACAGAATTTTTTGCAATTTTTCATTAGAATTTTGTGATTGCACTTGTTACATCTGCCTTTAAAAAATGTTAAAAGTATTCAGGAGCATATGGACATGCAAAGAGATTCAAGTTCAATGTTTTAGCTGAAAGAATGCTGAAAAAATAGTGCTTCTTGCTTTTAGAAAAATGTACTTATAAGATGTGATTCCTGCATGGGGAAGCACTGCTGCATATTAATACAGTAATACAGGCACACGTGTACGACAAAAGTGGTAAAAGCATGTCAAGATTTTATTTCATTGATAGTCATAGGGTAACTTTGCACCTGATGAGGCCACAATCTTGTCCAGAAATGCAGGTATAATTAGAGTAGCATTTAACTTAAAAAGTTAATTTCTTTCAATTTCTCTTGGGGGGAGGGGAGTCCAAGAACTTGACTGTCCTATTACCAATCATTTAAAAACTTGGCATTCATGTAAAAACATCTATAATGAGCACGCCTGTGAAGTATAATTGGACAAAGAGTCACTTGTATGTACATGTAAGTTCATGCTCTCTAGCTTATCAGACCATGTGCACTGAATACATCATATGAGAAGTCAACATATTTAGACAAACTGTCTTCACAAAAAAGGGGGCTTTGGAAAACGGCATGTTCCCTTTACATAACACTTGTGTCAAAATGACCATAAGACAAGAATGGAGAAATAGCTGAAGGTTGAGCAAAATGTATGGGATTCTAACCCCCCCCCCCCAGCTCTTTTAGAGTTAAGAAATTAAAATAACAGCGTATCGGGATAAACAAACGATTGACTCCATGTAATCTCTTACTAACGGTGGCAACTTGGAAACTACAAACACACCAACTTGATTCATACACCAAAAAAAAAACTTTGCGGAGACTTTTTATTTTCTTCTTTTTTTTTCAACTGATTGACAACCAACTTAATAGAAAGTGGAGATTCTCATCACATTCAGACAGGTTACAGCATTCTGCATTTGCATGTAAATAGTTCTGTATGTTGATTTTCAAAACAAAGATGAAGTCTCAGTATGCCCAGTGTGTTTAAAGTAGGGCAAGAGTAACGGCAGCATGTCACTCCTGATGTCAATATGTATACATGTGCAGAGATTTGTCTGAGCACCATGGATAGTAACTGACACATTTGGGACTTCAGACAACCAAAGGAATAAGCCATTTGTGAGTTAAATTTGAATAAAATCTGGTGCACTGAATTATCTGACTGCACATAAACATAACAATTTGAATTCCCCAGGTTAAAGACACTGTTGCTATACCTTGTGATTTGGGGCAAGCTTTTGCTAAGCGACCACCATCTCTGGAATGGACTGGTTCCTTAATGCCCTTCTTATCCATCAAAACCCTGTACTGAGGCAAGGTGTCTCTTATGTAACGAAGCAAAAGCTTGCCCCGAATCACGAGGTATAGAAACAGTGGTTTTAGTAAGGAGAATTCAAGTTGTTATGTTCACGTGAATTTAAAGAACTCAGCGTACCAGATTTGGGTGAAAGTTAACTCGCATCATAAGGCTTATTGGGGCTGATGAGTGCGCATGGAGTAGCATTAACTGTTTGACAGGGTTTGGCAATATCCCTAGCTCTGTTTGGCTGACAGGTAATAACAAACTACTCTCTTAAGTCAGCAAACCCGCTCAAAAACCCCGTGTCAAGGATACTAGTGGGAACTGTCATCCCAATAATTGCGATGCCAAATTGAGTAAGAAACAAGTCAAGAGTTAGGAATGCTAATTCTTAAAGGGATGAGTGACAGACAAAACTTTGTTCCCAAGGGAATTGCTGTCCAAACAAAAGTAAGTTATCTAGGGGACTGCTTGTTGTCTCTGTTCTCACCTGTCGATGACTTCGTAAGCTTCTCTTGTACCGACTATCATCAGTGCCAACACTGCGGCATATGTAGGAGCCAGGTGGGCAAACTGCATTGGACCTCCTGAAAAAAGTACAGAATGCGTTTTATTTCCTTATGTCACAACTAAACAATGTCAATATGACAATTGGACAATTTGATACAAATGGTGAAGTACATGTACGTAGTTTGTTCAACAGATGCATTTGATCTGTGTAAATTAAAATGGTAGCATACTATGCAGGCAAATTTGTATAGTTGTGTTGTAAAAGTGTTTGCTTTTTGGCATACAAAGTGAAATTGAAGAAACAAGACTTTGCTGAAATTATGATTTTTGATGAGAAAGTGCATAGTTATCCTAAGATTTTATTCCTTGGTTTTCCTTTTTCTGTAATTCATGGAGAAAAATCACAAGAAGTATGCTGAGAAAACTGCTTCAGAAGAAATAAAACACGGTTGCATTTGGAATATTAACCTAAGCCAAAGGCTTCCTGGACATCAAAGTCCAACACTGCACATTCCTTGTTTCTAAGAAGGGCACTCGGCTCTATGAACTTGAACCTGTCACTAATGAAGTCCTGGAACCAGACACTAATGGATTCACTGCAGCTAGATTAATATGATACAGAGAAACCTCTACTTTGAAACTCCAGTGATTTACCTCCAAAACCACCTTCAGGATGCTGGCATTTGGCTAAAAATTGCACCACCCTGGACCAATAAAAAAGGAAAAGGAAAATAAATCTTCGGAAGTTGAGAGACAGTGGGATTAAATATTTTCAAACCACAAAGATTAACAAATATGAAAGACAAACTATCTTCAAATCAATCAGAAATTGCAAAACCTGGCATGTTTCTATTTGTTTCAAACATGTTTTCTGCACCTGTCCTTCAGAGAGACTCTATCCAATAGTCTGTCAAGTTCAAATGAATGAGGGAAGACACTGTTGCCACCCTGTTGAATATGTACATGACATTTACACAGATTTATTGTTTACTGATAGTAGCATGAAACTGTACTCTACAGAATTTCTCTGGAGGTCATGAGAAGCCTCCGTCAGAAATGTTTCATCGCCAGTCTTGTTTTACAAGTAAGCCGCAGTTACTGTTTCAGTATAAATTCCTCTGCTCCAGAGGGATGTGATCTACAACCATTTCACCATGGTCCTACAGCCTCTCCAACCATGCAAAGACCTTTGCGAGTGTGGTTTTACCCTGAGTTGCCCTCTTGAGGGACCTTCTGATCTAGTAAGTAAAGACTGTGCAGGATCCAATAGCAGAGCCAGGGTCGGGAGGCATCCAGGCATTCGTAAGACTCTGACAGGCAGACCAGCCCCTTGAGCAGGAAATTGATGTGACGTTTCCGGTGCAACTGGGGCCTGTAGGGAGGAAATTGATAGTGAAGAACTAATTCAATGTGTGCACAAAATACGGGGGAATCACAATACAGTGCACCACTAAGAGGTTGCCAGAAAGTGGCCAGTTTTCAAGTTTGACATTCACTCAACAGCAAATTGCATTTGAGTGAATGTCAGCAGACAACTTGAGGAAATTTTTGATATGCAAACTGGGGTAATTCCATGCAATGGAAAGAAGACCAAATTAGTTCAAACTGCTGCTCTACCTAGACAAACAAACATCAGGAACAATTTAATTTTCCTGCATGGCCGGTAAATAGAATCTGCTGCCTGTTTCCCACTGCATGTACATGTACATGCAGAAAAATGGCCTGAGTGTGGCAACCTCCTGGTGGCGCACTGTTGAAATGTATTCTACAGAAAGTGCACCGAGCAGATGATAAAAAGATGGCTCAGTTTCAGATGAGGAGAAAGAGCTGAGAAGGGAAACTGGAGGCTTATTCGTTATGTTTTTGTTCCATGAAAAAGACTCTATGAATGATACACAAATGATGGCTGACTTTGTCTTATCTGGATGGTCGTCATCTCTGGACAACAGGAAGGTCTCAAACATCTCAGCCACAGATTCTTCCACATTTATCTATGCAAAATAAAAAGAGTGAACCGAGTTAGCAATAACATTTATGTACATGTACGTGTAGTTACCAGGTGTTTGCACTTGACATGCAAAGATGTTGAGAATGGTTGGTCGATTTGTGCAGTTGGTCCAGGTCTGTACTTAAATCACACAATCTTTTCATATTTCCAGCATCGGCCAATCCTTTTTTATTCTAACTCTCCTCAATCTTTCACCTGTTGGAGGACTGAGGAGGGTTAGGGTTAAGGAAGACCATTTTGAAAAGTGAAAATGAGGTCAAAGTTTTTTTACAGTATCAACCAGTAATGCAGCCAGATCCAACCAATTGTGCAGGTTTTGGAGTAAAATGGAAGATTGAGGTTACCTGTACTTGTAAGGCAAAATTGCATTGTTGATTGTGAAGGATGCATTGTCTCAAGGCTGTGAATTAGACCTTGTATTGTTTATGTTCAGCCATGCATAAATTAATGCCCACTTTATTTGTGAAATCCTTCTTACTGCCCCAGGATACCATTCACACTGCCTCAACATACTGAGAGGAATTGCCGGAGGATCTTGAAGGATTGAGGCAGAGGACACCCCTCCACAGAATATATTCAAGAAATATCAGCAGATTTTGGAGGATTGAGGCTGTACATGTGTTTGTAGTAAACCCTTATGCATGCCAACCAATGCATGTAGCCATTGTTTGGCATGCACAAGTGTTTATCCACCACGAACACAGGGCGAGGGTTCCCCTCGTTTTCTGTTTAAATCTCCGAATGACGCAATCTACATTCAGAATTCGCATCTTGGCATGAACAGAAAAACCTTTTAAGCTTGTTATACAGTAGTTGAGCTCTGAAGACAAAGGACACTGTGTTCGATTTCGATGCTTCCATATTTGAACAGATAAAATCAGAGAAAGCGTGTTTTACTTAGAGGTGCTCTGTAAGTACTGAACCATTCAATAAACATGTTCAGTTGCTGTGCCAGTTCAACATCGACAGCAAACCCCAGGACCGTGAACTGGTCAAATCAAATATTCCTACTAAATTACATGTACATTGCACGTGTAAGATACTTCACTTTCTCTGCTATTCTTGGCATTAAAGGAATTATTTTTTCAAGTGGAATAAAGTTTAAAATTGTACTAAGCCTACTGGTACTGTAGATCTGATTGTGCAAATCCACATGGACATTCCTCCATGGACAGATAGAGGAATTATAACTGGATAAACATTACAAACAGGTTCGGATGGTATTGACAGGACATAGGTGACAATGCAGATTATAAACAAATACAAACAGAGGTGATTAGGTTTAATCAGAAACATACAATCAGCTCACAGGAGCCATCTTGCCAACCTCGGCATGGCTTTTCCGATAATGCACATGACTGCACATACATGTAACTAAGGAGTGCATAACTGAACAATTTATGTTGTACAAATGTGACAAATGTGAGAGAGTTTTGTCTGTTTGTTTGGTATAAGGCTCCCAAAATATTCTGCTTTCAGTTTTCCAGTTGACCCTAATTTTTTGGCCAACCCTAAAATTTCTATCCACAAATTACACAAACAAAATTAAACAAAGAATAAAAATAACCATGACATGAGTGATAAATAGCTTAAATTAATTGATCTTGTTGTCTTTCACATCTTTACAAAATGCCTCTCAACAACCTTTTCATGTCAAAGACATTTTGTATTTCTATGTTTGCGTAGGCACGATAGGCCTAGGCCTACTTACATTCATGACATTTGGCATTTTTTAGAGGAAACTTGTAGTGTTTTTACAATTCCCTTTATGGTTTGATAGGTGTGGAAACACTGGTCAATGCTCGATCATGTCGATGCAATGAACATGCAATGCTGTCAATGGCTGTGCTGGTCATGTACCCCCAGAACTATCAGACTGTAGCGGGGCGAACGTCGGACCCCACCGTTCTGGAGGTAGGCTACTTACTACTGTCATGCTAGCCCCCATCCACTACGTAAGAATGCTTTGCTTTGATGTCCCTCACAACATATTGAAGTGAAAAAAAAACGACAACTTTGTAACATTCTTACATAGTAACATCTCTCACCTGCTCATCTGAAGAATGCGTTCGAATTCCATCGTCTAGAAATCTCTGATATTCCAAAATCTCCGGGTTCTCAACACACCTGGGGGACGCCATCTTGTCACAACTTCACAAATACCACAGAGGGCGCCCTGCCCAGTGTGTTTTCGGATTGGTTTAGCTTGTGTGTACGTACGTAAAATTAAACACTACATGTCGGGGAGTGCTTTGCTAGGATATGGGAGGAAAGGGGCCTAATTGCGGTCAAGTAGAAGTACCCCGGTATTACAATCTTATTCCATTCAATTTCCAGTTTCATGAAAGGATGCAGAGATTTTTTCGTTAAAAGACACTTCTTGCATGCTCTAAGAGGCATGTTCCTCCAACTCCACATACCAGAACCACAACGTGTCGAATTAAGAGGCTTATTTGAATTTATTAAAGAAACTGGTTAAACTTCCAATTTCTGCATCAAAGGCAGGGACAGGCTGAATGTTTTCTCTGCATCAAAGAACAGTATCAGAGTTGGATGAAGAGGGGGACTGCAACTCCTCACTCCTCCCTTCAGCCGCGGACTAAATGGAAGTACCAGTGAAATGATGGGAAATGAGTAGGCCTACCAAAAAAATACAAAAATCCTGGATAAGGACTGCGTAGTCCACCTATCCATCCATCCATACGCAAACAATTACATCAATTTCCAGTGGATCCCGTTAGCAGGCTATCCCTTCAGTATGCCCATCAACCCTGTCCCCCCCCCCCATTTCCTGAGAGCTATATGTAGATCTGTCCCTAACAAAACACTGAATCAATGAGATTTGCAGTTGAAATCCAGTTTATTCTTTCATAAATCTGACAAGAGAACAGTGCACAGTGAAGGTAGAAAGTTCCAATAAGACTTCAACTCAGAATCACCATACTTGCTTCAATAACAAAATTCATTTCATAAATGTTTACATAATGAAATGCAGGCAACACTGCTTTCAACCTGATTTCATTGGACAGTTTTCATTTTAGCAAATAGCCAACTGAATGGCAATAAAACTTTTGAAAAAAGCAAAGCTGGCAAATTCTTTACAAATGTGTGTTACACCACTGGCGGCTAGAATTGGACATATGCAAGTTCAAACTTTCTATCTACTCGGTACTCGATATCTGATCTTTCTCATTTCTCGACAATGAAATCTAAACTATAAGCCTACTTAGTCAACCAAGGTCTGCTAGCCTTTTAAACATTCTTCCAGTGGTGTAAACTTTACCCCAAGGTCCTCCGCCAGGATTTTGCGAGTGTTTTGCAGGATTTGAGGGAGGTTCGGCCAAGCCACAAGTACCTCACATGGGGTTTGTTAGTCAGGGTATCAAGCATGCCCTTTGTGATTCCTGCAGAATGGTGAAATGTGGTGGATCCAGGAAGATTCCAAGAGCACAAATACTACAGAAGTTAAACAACAAGTTAGAAATGTTAACATGGCACACTATTAACGCTTATAGTAGGTGCTAATTTCAAAGCCTACCCTTGCATGATATTAACATAAAACCATAATGGTTTTGATTTCCGTTGGACTTGACTGAAATTACATGAACTGCAAACTGTTTTGAATTCACGGTGCACAACAAGGCAAAAATACATTTAAATTAACGAAAGGAATATTTGCAGGTGAATCCATGCTGTAAACTTCATTCAACATTTCTCCGTCATTTAGGCTGTCGAGGACTTAAGATGTTCAGTTTCAACCCCAACTTTGCATAATTAAAACTGATTTTACATTCAGAACATAAAGCAGCTGTTTACCTATTCAACAATGCACTTACTTCTCCCAAGAAGAGTGAACAAGATGGCATCTTGCTGCGTAGATTCCACTGGGAGCAGTTCCCCCCCCCCAATCAATGACCTTTATAAGCATTGAAGTTTACAGCTTGAATTCACCTTGTTAACGTCATTCCACATCTTCAGGGTAGACAGGGTCCTTCAGAGGTATCACTGATTTCTTGTCCTTGTCTCGACTCAGGGCTTTGCGCATGTCTGCAATGAACACACACAAAACACAAGAGCGCTTGATGGATGACTGCACAAGTTCCAGTCAATGAGTTCAGTCTGTGGGCCGGTTCAGCATTCGAACAGCACATGCCCAATAAAAAGACATCCAAGGTCATTCCCAAACATCAATACGCTCACATGGGGTCTGCCCTATCAACTCGTGCTTTGTCCTCAAATGACCTCACCTTTTTCAAATGCACAACTGGCTCAGCTGAGAACATTCCCAGTTCCCCACTATGTTCCACTTAAATAAACCTACACACTTCCTTGTTCCCGTTTTGATCACCTCACATGCATGCATTCCACATGTTGGAAGTGGGAAAGATGGGTAAATGTACATGATCAACTAGCAGGGGCAACCAACAAAAAGGGGTCACAAAAAACTCTGCAAATGCTCCATATGTGAAACATGGATGACATGAAGTGCGTACAATCATGAATGCCATATTGTGGTGGACATGATAACTGTGTGCACATGTTTGCATATGTGGCACCCTAGCAAGGCCAATTTTCATCAGAATGTGCACAAACCCACAACAGTTTGCTGTGGAATGTCCAAGTGTTCATGTTCCTTGAACAATCACCTTTTCTACTACTGCAGGGGAAGTTTGCATGAAGATAACAACACCAATGCCTACATGTACATGTTTGCAATGATGTGATTTGTGCAAACACTTTCAGCCTCAAATAAGTCACCTTTGGCCGCACATACCAAAGGTAAGGATGGGAATTTACCTTTAATTTGAAAAATGTTTAGTAAACATTCCCATACTGTTTACATGTTATACAAAATGTAAATAGTTGTCACAAAGTTCCGGTGATGAATTCTGGTGATGAAGAAGATATTCTTTTGATTGACCGAGCAGTAAAGTGTTTCAAAGATCAGATTACCTTTTACAAGCATCATTTACAATAAACAAGAGTGCCAGATTGTGTCAATCAAAACATCAAACCTCTAAAAGTGGTGGTTCCATTTAAACGTTTTGGAAAATCAGTAAACTGATTTAGATTTTTGTTCAAACGTGTACACGTCCCACCCTTAACCAAAAGCTACTTTCACAGAAATCTTTGATCAATATCACGAAGCCAGCACAGTCTTTACAAGTCATGCACCAAAGTCTTGCACCCTGCTCATCTCAAGCACTTACCAAATGCATCTTCATCAGGGTCACCCGAGTAGTACTCTATGACTCTGCGATACACAGTGTAGCCTAGGCCCTTGTACATTGTGACGGCTACCTCGTTGGAGACGCGGACAAACAGGTCTACAAAAAAACATGCCTTCCTGCAAAAGGAGGTCAGAATTTAGAGAATGTAAATACATGCATTGCACTGAGTTACATGGGAATTTTCTTGGTCTCACACCATCTCAATACAAGTGGATGATATTAAAAGTTGATAGAGCATGAAGTAACACATAATATTTTCTTGAAAAGTGCTGAATTTTTCTAAATCCTTGACAACATAAAAAACAATGAAGGAATTCTTTTAGCTTAACTTCAAGGGACATTACATGCAAGTCCAAATAAACTGTGGTCGCGTTCTACTTTCCTTCAGATCATAAAATCTTCCAGCATATAATGGAGAATCTCAGAGGTTATCAGAACAAAAAGTGTTCCCCTTGAGATACCACAGTTCATTATCTGGGCCCTTTTGAAAGTTAAAACCTTCAACTACCCCCAAATATCTATACTTTGACTGCTCAGAAAAACAGTACCACAATAATGACTGAATTTCATATATGACAGCAATTTGCAGTCTACATCTAACTCTCAATTGACAACAAATTTACTCCTGCCACACAAGCTTGACTCTTTATGTTCATTTAGTGAATTGGGTGATGGTCAAAAGGGCTAGCATGCCTGGTGTATGGCAAATAAAGAAAAGTGCTTACTTTTCAGACACCTCCTCCAGAAAGTTCATCATCTTGGCGGCAAGACCGAGTCGTCGAAACTCGGGGGCTACTGTCACTGCAGTCACATGACCATGCCACGTCTCCTGGGGGATTGAGCCCTCCGATTTACCCATGACTGCAACAGATGAAAAGATTTTGCGAGGGGACTAAGAGATGTTCCAAAGTACAGATTCGGCTAGCAGAATAAGGCTGAAGAGTTTCTTCTGGACATTTCCACAACAGGTAACATTGCAACCGGTACTGCCCTGAACAGGCACTGGGGAAGAGTAAATGTATTTCACCAAATATTGAGGAGCATTTCTCGTTGAGTTGATACATTTTGAACCAGTCTGCTCATTACTCACTATATCCCATGATCTTTCCAGATGCTGACTCACAGACTTGAAAGTACTCCGGCCAGTGAGCGAGATACTGGAGGTAGAAAGCAGCTCCATACTGATATGAGTGTTAAGGCAATACAGAGAAGATACACCGTGGGAACAACCACACCGGGGGTGGTCAGGGATTAAAGTTGAAGAGTACTGTAACTTAATGTAGGCCAAATGGAAGAGAATGTTCACAATCAGATCGATCGATCGATCAATCAATCAATCAATCAATCAATCAATCAATCAATCAATCAATCAATCGATCAACCAATCATCAACCAACCGACCGACCAACCCACCGATCGATCGATCAATCAATCAATCAATCAATCAATCAATCAATCAATCAATCAATCAATCAATCAATCAAGGTAATTCAGTAACACAGTAGAGAGTACATCAGTATGTAGATGACTGGATGTCCTGCTGTGAAAACGAATGACCACAGGTTCACCCATCTGCCCAAAGGGGGCATACATGTATCTTCTTGCAATATGAACATTTGTTTGGTACAGCGACAGCTGAACTTTCAGAGTACAATGTAATCAGTGTTAAGACTTTTGAATCAATTGTATGTACCGGTTCATGTATGGTAGGAGTCCTGACCATTGACACTGACCTTCTTCTCTAAGATTGTCTACAAATCAGTATAAATCAAGAGAGATAAAGATGCACCATGGACGTTACTAATCTACACTCAAACTTGGGCATCTTTCTGAAAAGGATACGGTCTCAGTAAGAGGATCAAGATTGCTGCAAAATATAACAAATGATTGATGTGGTCAATAGTTACCCTTCTATATGTTTCCTGGTAAACTGAAATAATAGTCATTGTTATCCCCCACCTTTACATGTATATATATATTTTTTTTACATCAAATTTCAAAATTGACAGAAAGGAAAGAATTCTATCCTGGACAATCATAATTTTCGAGTGTTGTAATCCCTCCTAAGATTACCCTAGATGTTTTAAACTTTCTCCCCTAAAATGAACCTTCTTTGCTGGCAAAATTCCTCCTAAAGTTAATAGGCAAGCCTTTTCAAATCTGTTGGTATTTTGATTGTGATGGTCCATATTTCCCAAGAGAAATTCTTGCCCCTATGTTTGGTGCACATTATTCCTTGTGTGGATACTAAGACCCACTTCTGGGACAGTGTGGCTTCAGGAGACAGTTAATAAATATAGAGGGTTGATACATCTAAGCTTCAACATCTTTCTGACCACAAGCCAAGCAGGTTTGCGCCCAACGTGATTACAGTTATACACAAGTTTTCTGTATAAGGTTTACATGTATGTATAAGGTTTTCTAACCACAATCCAATCTTTCCTGCTCATAATTTTTGTAGTTAACTCCTTGTTCTACTCTAGCTTGACAGGTACAGTTACGGCCAGAGTAAAGGTTTACACGATACACGATACAGCGTGCGTGCGTGTATAGGGAGTGGAAGACACGCTCTTTATAACGTATGTGCAAGAACGCAATACAAGCAGTTGCGGTTAGCCCGGACAGACCTCTAAGCCCCAACCAACTCGATCCAATTAAAGTCAACCACAATCCCGCGTGCATCTTTTTAGTGCGTGTATTGAGGACACCCTGCACGGTATATCAGGAAGCGTGTATTGTGCTAACATGTGTGATCAATGTATTGTGTCATCGCGTGAACCTTTACTCTGGTCCTAACTGTACACGTATGCATACATGAACGTGTGCATTGTAAGGTCTTATTTCTCAACATCAACGTGACAGTTGAGCACAGTAACTGGATATACCATACCCATATCTACAGAATTAACCAATCTCCTTAAGCAAGAACTGCAGAAACTAGCATAGGTTTTGTCAGTCAATGCTCAGGCTCTACTTTACTTTCTCAAAATAATCTTCCAAAGACATGAATAAGAAAAGTTGACTAACAGATGGCATTATGACCAACCAATGGAGCAGTATGAATGACCCAATGTGCAAACAGCAACCAAAAAACTGGGTCCCACGTAGGCGATTTCAAATTTATTTTTTCATTCATATCGGCGCCCACCCCAAGTTTCATGCCTGCCCCCAATTTTTTATATATATATTTTTTTCCAGACAAGTTTCTCACCAACTCAACTGGTTCAGTCGCGTTGACTTTAAATAAACAGAAAACCTCACATGAACAGCAAATGACCTTTGTGAAATATTCTGTGCGCAGAATGTGAATATGATGCATGCCCATACCACTCTATAGCCTGATATCTGTCATGGCTGTTGTGGCTCATAACTTACTTACTCATAACATATGGTCACTGTTTAGTCAGGAGGCATGAAGGGTTGATGTGGTTTCAATTCAACAATAATCCAGACACCATACAGTACCATATATCAGGGAGGAAAGTCACTTTGGATGAAGAAGTTATGTATACATTATAACATGAATAAAAGAAAAAGTAGTTTAATCTGAATAACGTGAAGCCTAAAAATCAATTTTGGTCTCATACATGTACATGTAGTTGTTCAGTGCAATATTAGCCACTTCCTGCCGGGGCAGTTATCAATTTGATGATGCTGGGCCGGGATATTTATCATTTTTTTCTGTTTTCAAAATTCTTTAAAAATTCCTATCTTCATTTACTGAATACTTACAAACACGTGAAGGACTGTCTGGTGGCCTCTCTAGCCTGACAGACAAAATCTATTGACACCTGAGTATTTCAGCCAGGCCTGCAGCCTTGTAAAAAGAGCCCAGATTGTGCGGTGTTATATAACTTTCTTTTGTTCATGACCCTGGCTCAGTGGCTGCTGACCTCTTTTCAATAGGGGCCAGATTAGCGTGCAGCGGTGCTGTGTGGCTCATCGCTGCGTTGGTGGAGCGCTTTTGTCCTTGGTGGTAATCCACTCGCTCTAATTGCCCTAAACTGTGGCATACTGTTTCAAAACAAGACTGGATTATTTCCACTTTTGACAGTGAAAAAATGTCGCTAATGCCCAGCAGCCTGGTCTTTTCTTACCCGAGTTTGGCAAAAGACAATTGCTCTGTCAAATCATGCCATTTTGTTTCTAGTCTGGTTACCGACTCAGGCATTTTGGATTCATCAAAAGGGTGCAGCGTCCCAATGCATGGAAAATTCGGCGCCAGGCCGAGGTGCTTAAAAGGACATATGCAGCAAGGTATGAGACGGAGAGAACCCCCCCTGCTTTGTGTTGGTCATTGTCTCGCAGGAATCTGGGGAATCCCTTTCAGACATCTTGGGGGGATGTGTTAAGTAACACTAGTCTGGAATGTGCATAGGGATTGGACATGTGGGGGGTACCCCTCGGTCTCATTTCTTGCTGGGTATATAAAAGGACCCCTACAGATATTTTCGAAAAGAGGGGTCTGTTTGGGCCAAGAAATGGTGGGATTGTGTCAGTATGGCCCAGGATCATCTCTGTAGATTCAGAGGCACCCATCTGGGGGCAAAGCAGACAAAAATGGGATTGAAAATTTGTCAGAAGAGCCTGAGAAAGGTGAGGGATGTCATTTGAAAAGTGGCTGCTGAGAAGACTTGGGAACATTCACTCTTTGGGGGGTGAGTTTGTTTTTGGCGGATGATTAAAAAATTCATTGATTTAACCTACTCAAAAATTGAAAATCGAATGAAAGCTGAAGGGCCAAACAACACATTGCTTTTTGTTTGAGAGGCCTCAGGGATTTCAGTTGCCTGCCATGGGGCTCCAAACTTTGATTTTACACTATTTTCAATGGAGCTTGGATTGGTTCAGTGCATCCCAAAATGAATCTCCATCCAGGTCAAGAAACCAGACTACATTCACTAATTTGTCGTCGTTACAACAGCTCAGGCATGTCAGGGCAGTCATGTACTGTACATACATGTACACTGCTGTTTCACCCCAAATTTCCCTTAAAACCAAAAGCTGTGTTGTCTTTTCTTTCTGATATGAAAGAGAACATCACCAATAACTTGTTTAGATAAGTTGTTTCAGATAAGTTGTTTCAAAAATGGAATTTGTTCCTGTTTCATAGGGACAGGGTGCTAAAGCTAAGGTACATGAACACAAACTTCGTGATGACAATGAAATCAAGAAGCGTGAATTCCCAACATCATAAACCATGCATAAACACAATCATAGCAGGGCAAAAAAAAAATCAAGCTGTGTATCACTTCATTTTTACAACTCACACGTTATTAAATTTAAACAGGTCTTCACACGTAAAAGGACGAACAGTGGTCATCTTGAAGTTGGGGATTCCGGCTCACGAACATCATGTATCTGCCGCCGCAGCATAGCAGGCCTAGGCAAGGGAAATCGCTTTAAAGAGCGACCTCTAGCGCTCGCGATTAATCGCAAAGACGGGGGGGGGGTAAGTGAATTTTATACATACGACTGATTCGTGCTGCGAAAAGCGGTTTAGGGTTAACTATCAAAAAGGGAACTTTTCGTGCCCGCTTCACCAGAAAAATGTTCATTTTCGACAGTCCTTTGTTTTTATGACACCTTCAAGTTTTGTTTAATTCAATTTTAAACACTTAACAAATCAAAATGTTCTTCAGGCCAAAAATGTATCTCAGAAAGTTCTCACAGCCTAGTAAAGGACTGAGAAGTCATAGGAAGGGGGAATGTTGCTGGAAAATGTGAAACTCTTACCAGTTTTTTGAGTTGAACTTTAGGTCATGCTTATGTTATGTAGTAGTAGAGTCCTCAATGTAAGAATTACCCTACTGTCCAAGTTCAAGCTGTTCGTGCGTCGATATACTGTCATCAACCGGCACTAGTGATAGACGTCTCTCTGTTCATACAACTGCACAAAGCCTATCTCGTGTTCCGTATCGGAGGCAGGGGTAAAATTCATTTTCTTATTTCGAAACCTGTTCAATGCGATGTGACACGAAATCATTTTTTTCAAAGGGAAAGATCATAGCGCCTTTTATTATTCATGGTTGAGAATGGAGTATCATGAAATATACAGTGGCGTATGGGGGGCAACCATAGAGCAAGGTGCCCCGACGGATTTTTTTAGTAAGGCTTTTGATATTTGTACTGCCCTAACAACATGTTGAAAAATATGCGCCGCTGGATAAGCCGCGCCGCTGGAAATATCCCCAAAATAATTACCAGTCGATGGGCCGTACAGCATTTGTAGGAACCATGGTACTTGTATACATATACATTAATTTTTGTTTGCTTAAAAGATGCCCCTTAAAATACCAATTTCTTGTGTTCTATATCAACTTTCAGTGAAACACCTTTATGTTTTACTCAGGATTTTCTAGGACATTGTTTGAAAAATCCTGAAATCAGGAAAGTCCTGACAAATTTCACCCGGGATCATTTTGTGTCCAACTATTTTATCATGATAGCATAATTTTGTAGACGCTCCAATGTACTGATGATTTGAATTACAGTAGTTAACTGGGACATGTATCGTTCGTTGCGGAACAAGACTGTCGTGCTTTTCTCGTTATTCTGTCTAGTCATTTAATAATTACTCGGTAATTTGCACTTCTTCCGTATTAACCGCGTCATCCAGTCCTATACACAGGGTGTTAGAGATTATCCGACTTCATTCCGTTCATTCTCTAGTCGCAGTGGGGGAAACAGCAGTAGCGTAATTAAATCTGTGCTGGAAAGTGGGTGGGGGGAGGGAGGTGTGCATTGCCTGGGCATGGACATTTGAAAAACGGCGGGGGGGGGGACTGCACCATATACACCACATACAGAGGGCAATATTCATGATAAAGATGTACATCTGTAATGTGTAGCAAATTCAGGCAGGATCAGAATGGCATATTTCTGGCTTTTAAAAACTGTTTTCCCTTTCTAGTGATAATTGTAAACCTTTTAATCATTGGGAAATCCTTAAAATTCTTCACCATCCACTTTAATTTTTTGCTCATCGCAAAAAGTGTATGGGGGAAGATTCAATAGCCCCTCTCAAAAATGGGGTGGGCTATACAGCCCCAGATGCCGGGATTTACGCCCATGGGAAGTAGACTCCTTTCAGCGAATACTTACCAGATTCCTAGAACACAAAAATAACCAGAACACTAGAATTTGAAGCATAGTATTTTAATAGTACATATTCTTTACATGTTTAATACATTCATTAGAACACTTCATAACTTCCATAATTAATTTATGTTGCAGTTTCCTAGGACAATGCCATTTTGTTATGAATCAAAATACAAGTTTACTCCAAGAAACAGTTATACAATTTACACGTAAAACCTAATTTACTTTCAAATCTTGCTTTGAACTATCGGACCAATAACAAAAGGGTGAGGAGCAATTTGTAAAAAATTCGTTTACCAACTTCTCACTTGAATCTCTAAAACGAATTCTATATTTGATAAAAAACCACATTCAAAGCTGATAATCTGGTTGAAAATTTATGAAAACATTCATCATTTTACACTACAACGACTGACTCTATACACTAAAATTGGTTTCCTCGTCAACTTCTTTTTAATTACCTAAGTAAACAATGGCCTGGTGTGACCTTGTAGCTCCTCCAAACTCTCAGTGGATTGTCACAGGTAATTTCAACTGTGTCACTAAATCATTTTGGGGTGATCTGAGGTTATAATTATTTTGCAGACAAGACCATCCCTGATTGCTTTTGGCAATGCAAGAATTTGACGGATTTATTACAAACGAGTATTTCGAGAAGATGCTCAAGGAATACGTGCTCTAGCAATGAAGCACAAAAGGAGCAATTTCCACAGAATTCTAGGGAGCTCCAGTGTAATAGAAACCATGGTTTGGGAGTAAAGGAATGCATCTGAGGATAGCTGGTGATGATTTGGGATGCAAAATTTCAATCTCTTCAATTACGTAAACTTGTTTGTTGAAAAAAGTAAATGGAAACATGCTTTCAAACTTTGTCCAAAGGAAGCAAGCTGTGTTGGTTTCCTCAAGATGGTTCCTGCTCATAACAAAACCAAAACCCTACAATGCCCCCAAATTCCTTGCTGCTGGATGCAGGAACTCCCAGACAAATAACTTCATTTTAAATCTTGAACATGCAAATGGCCTTCTTTCAATTAAGTATGGTAAAAGCCAATTACTGTTTAGTCGTATACCAAGCTCAAGTTTTCAATAACCACTTAAACTTCTTGAAGTTTGCAGCTGGGACCTGTGTATACTGAAATTAAGTCACTGATTTTGAGAAGACGAAAAAGTCTGGCTAGACAAGAATGTATCACCAGAAGGAATGTAGGAAACACTGGTTTTTCAGCTGACCCATGCTTGAGACACAATGTCTGTTCAAAAATAAGATGCTCTGCACGTAAGTATCCCACTGAAGAGACTCCTATGCACTCTCTGACTGCCGACATACCACCAACATTGAAGTGAAATGTTAAGGCTGAATTTTGGGTTACACATATTTTGAAAAACAGTCACCCCAACTGAAGTGAGGAGCATATTTCTGATTCTGAAAATCTCAAGGCTGAGAATTGAAGCCCTTAAAAGAAAAACCCTAACCCTACCTCTACATGAAAAAAAGGGGGAAAAAAGAGCCATTGTGACCTTTTAGAGAAAAAAATGAAAGCACGTTTTACATGCAATTCTTCAATATCCTTGACTGTTTTACCCGAAACATGTTACATGATAAATCCGGCAAATGAATTTGTCACGCACATTAATATTTGGCATCAATTTCCCCATCAACACTGTTTCTGGATAGGGGAGGGTTACACATCCACATGTGACTACACTTGCTGCATTATAAAACCTTGATCAGTCTCTTTTGGAAATGAGCTTGACTACATTTTGAATACATCAACAGGAACTTGACCTATAAATCTTGTTGCAGGGTCTGCATATAGTACTACTCTCTCTTTCTACATGCCAAAGTCGGAAAACAAACACCACAAGGTTGTTAAATTGGCCAGGGCGGGTACAAAACAAAATCTATCCTTTCAGAAATACACCTTATCTTAGCTACTTGTGCCAAGTTGCATGAATGAAAGAAAAACAAACTTTTGCAACCACTGGTAACTTGGCAGGTGGCATGGCTGAAAGCTACACAAGACACTGATCTGTCTTACAGTTTTCCACAGAATTAAAAACGACAGAACAAAAGTGGCTTTAACAGGAAAACCTGCATACCAGCTTTCTGTGAGCTCTGTCAATTTTCAAAATATCCACTTCATCTAAAATGATGACAGGCTTGGGGTTTATTTTCAACTTTTAAGAAATAAATAAAATGTATTTAATTACCAAGGAAGCCTGCCCTGTCTTCAAGAAATCTACTAGTTAAGTGAACTTCACATTTGCATGAAGTTCTTCACTTGGGAACATTTGTTGTTCAATTGGCTTTTCTAGGGAGAGGCGCACACCCCCACTATGTAAACATCTTGTGACTAAAGAATATTTGGCTTATCTAACAGGAAAGTATTAGCAACAATTTCCTGTAGCACTTCAACACACGGTTTCAAACGTGTACACACACATGGATCCAATCTGTAACAACTGAAAGAAAATCACAGCACACAAATATTCTGCTCATCCAAAACAGGTCGTTAGCAACTGTAGCACCCACACTGCTTGGACTAAGTCTCACCTGTATTCCATTGGGTAAACTGGAAACAACTGCTGCTTGGATTGAAAATTCAACAACTGCTGCTTGGATTGAAAATTCAACAACTGCTGCTTGGATTGAAAATTCACCAGTCAATTTTTACAGCAATGTGCAAAAAATACTCCCAACCCCCTGAAAAAAGATTTGCAGGATTTTGGAAAAGCCAGTCTCAGAAATTCACAATTTCCCCATTACAGGGGGATGCCCAAACAAGGTCATGCCTGGAGGTTGACAGTTAAAAACTATTTGTAATCATTACATGTACATCAATCAGACTTTTTTCCATATTCTGTGCAAAAAATAGAGCAGGAAAGTGCATAGAAGAATACCAAAATATATCTCATGACTCTAACAGGGATGGTACCACACTACTGCAACATGAAAATCATTCTACTTTCCCAAGTGATCCTGTCATGTACCCTGACTTTACAACTCACTTCACACTCAATTTACATTTTATCTGTACATCATGTACTGTACAAGTTTAAAGCCGATACTCATATATCTTTTATATATCTTACAAGTAATTTATACACTTTTTTCAATAACTTACAAATAGTGGCATCTAAGTTTGGTTTCACTCAAAAGCTCCTGTGCACCGAAAATGTCCAGGCAAAATTCAAAATCTCATATTGCCTATCACAAATTTTAATACATAGAACACAGGAAGAATTAACATCTTATTGGCTTCATATTTTGTAAGTGAGTTCCGAACAAAGACAGGCAAACACTTGAATGTGCAAATTATTTATAAATAAGTCACATGATGAACGCATGTATATCTGGAAAACTTTCAACAACAAAAGAAGACCTACTTACATGTACCACCAGTTACTTGCAATCAATTTACATCTATTTCAGGCACATCGCTAGACATGAGTTAATTGTTCAAGAAAATTAAAAAGCAAAAATAAACCATAACCTTTCCCCCGTACCTACAAACTGGAAATTCAAGGACACACACACACAAATCAGGGGGTGCCTAAAGCCTTTGAGATTGCAAAACTTAATGCAAACCATCTGTCAACGAGAAACAACTTTGTCAAGCGAATGCCATGTTTTACAAACTCATAGATTCTTAAGACTTCAAATGAATTCTTAATAGGATATTTCCTTGTGGTTTGAAAAATGTATCTATTTCAGATATATATATTTTTTTAAAATAGGGGAATTAATTTATCGGTGAAAGGTTGCACACAAGACCTACCTCTTTTACGCCCAGACACAGATGTAGCACCCAGCTAGTTATTAACCTCTAGATTAAAGCCAAGGGCCCATGTACACAGCAAACGGTAAAGAATATTCCGCTTGGTAAAAATAATATACAGTGGTTTCCTATAGACCTGTTCATATCTACAGTGAACAAACCATGCAATGGGACCACAAACCCATGGGTTTGGACCCCAGAGCAATTGTTTCTTAGATACCATACTCAGTTTATTTTGGCCAAATGGTCCCATTGGGTATAACGTCACCGACAGACTAGCATGGTTGAGGGCATCCTAGGATTGCCTTTGACTCTTTCCGTTAGGCGCTACTGTACTATGAAAAGTCAGTTGCATCATTATTTTGCAAACTGGACCACTTTTCTCCTTGTGAGCATACTTGTATGCAAACTTTGTCCACCATCACTTTCCATCAATGCTCTTACTCATCTGTGTAAATGGCCTCAACGGTCATTTTACTACGAGTATCAGGTAAAAGGTAATAATAACATCGAGCCTTTGAAAGCAAAAGAAATAAAAACTTACAAAACATTTGCACTGGTCAGTCCTGAGTCTGTGAGTTTAAGCATATGGGCATATATACACATACTACGCTTAGTAATGGAGTACACACATTCACCTATAGTGACCTACTGACTGTGACTGATTCTAGGTAGGAAGTGGTACAATAGTCAAGGTAAACAGTTGGTCGTCCCATCTTTTTTGACAATTACTCAGGTTTCTGAAGCTACACACAACTCCACAAAAGGCACTGTGAGGAATTTTTTGATGTACGAGTCATTAAAAAAAAATCTCCCACCCTCATGTGAAAGATTCTCGATGTGATAAGATTTTCACCATTTTTTTCCCATTCTCAAATCATCAATTCTGAACAAACCAGCATTCTGTCAATCATACACTCATCCACAAGGCAGATAGCCAGTGCTGCCTAATCACACCAACCACTAAGAGTGCCACACAAACTAGTAATGCGAGAGCTGTGTGACTTATATTCTGATGCATCATGGCCTATCCCCTACCCACACAGGACAAACAGCCCTCTCCATACACTATGAACTTAGCTCCAGATGTGCATGTCATACGCGCAAAAAACACCTGTAACTATTGTTAAGCATTTCGTTGCACACAACACTATTGTCTAAACAATAAGCACAAGATGGGAGGAGCAAACAGTTTAAATTCCATAAACAGCACAATGGGCAGGCTACCTACTTCCAACAGGATGGGGATACCACTGCGGAATATGTTCCAGAGCCATTCGACGGTGCCAACCTGGGAGGAACATATCTCAAAACGGGCAAATGACTAAAACACCATGCAGACATACCCCTCTGCTAACAGGAATTTGTTGGGCTTTTACACAGGTGTGCTACAATGTGCATAGATTCCTGCACAGCCCACGGCTTTCTCCACCTTTCAAAAGTAACTGTCTTCCACTGGCGGGTGTTTGTTCACGATGGTTTAGAGATCCTGTCGGCAGTCTACTGGTGCTTCGGCATTTGAACGCAACTCTACCGTTTGCATCCATCCCGTTCTACTTCTACTCTAGAGCCACTCTCGCTGATGACATCATCATGTGGGGTTCTTCAGCACCCTCTTCTGCCGGAAGTCGTACACCTGCCGGCAAAAGAACACGTTCTCTGGGCTAACGTCGTCCGGCGGGAGACGGTACGACCATGGGTAGCTTTCAGGGTCTTCAGGCACACAAGGTCTGCCGGGGACGATTGCTTCCTTCTGTCTCTGCAGCTTGGCTCGGTATCTGTATCATGACAACAAAAGAGGAGCAAAACCAGTTCATCGACTGAGAAAAACTGATATGATGGTAGTTTGTACCACCGACAACAAAACAGCTTCAAGAACCGCGAAAACAAAACACCACTCAAATCCCCCCCTCCCGTTCAGCAGTTGGTGACTCTGAAGATGGCCTTATCAAGGTGGGGATTTGGCTTGTGTTGATTGCGAGTTCTTGGAATGTGCATCCCGTACTCGCAATAAGCCATGTGTCTAAGAGTTCAACAGAATTCAAATTACATTTCACTTTGTAATAATGTGCTCGGGCTCAAACAGAAGCTGGAGGTTTCAGGGTTTTCATCAGCAAGGTTCTCTCCTCTGAGTAGCTTCTTTGGCAGGTGCTACATGTAAGCACCTTGCTCCTGGATCTCATCACGCAATGTCAGCAGTTACCTTTCTCTCCTTTTATACGGAGCCAAGTGACGCAAGAGTAGACTCCCGGTCTGCTCGAGAGTTTACTCCTGCCAACCCATAGACCTCTATCATGGGGCAGCCAAACTGAGGCTGAAGGAAACACAGTCTGATCCCTTTTATCAACATGTGAAGTTGTACTATCATTGCCAATGGGTCCTCAGGGAACAAGACAGACAGGGCGGCATCATGGTAAAGGTCTAAGGGTCATCCTCCCACCATATTTATGCATGGTACTGTTCTTGAGTCAACATGCTCAAAAGTACCCTGAGGATAGCATATACTCTATACACACTCTCACCTGGAGTACTCCGCTGGTGTAAGTACATAACACCTGTCCTCAATGCAGGCTACACTGTTGACATCCCAGTGACGACAGGCAAACAACTCACCCTGAAAGGTGACGATAGAATAAGAAATTATGCCCCCCTAATTTCTACTTCAGTTAAGGAGGATACTGTTCATTGTAAGACCATTCAAAGTGCACAGGATATATCCAGTATACACAAACAGATCATACTCTAATCCAGCATGCAACTTGGACTCTGACAAAAACACGAGGACGTTCCAATCTCTACAAGACTTTGTACAGTGTTTTTCAATTTTCAATGGCATGAGTGGGAAGTGAAAAATGAGGAAATCAGCTGATCTGAGGAAAAGTTGCATGCCCGTTTAATGCATGGTACCTTCATACTAACGCTTGAAAAATTAAAACTCTAGGGTGAAGTGACAGAAGGGGGGGTCCAAATACCTTGCTCATGAACAGCCTACGGATACAGTTAGATGTTAACTAAAGGTTGCTTGACCAGTGGGAGTCTAAAGGCAGGGACAAATGGAAAAGCTGATTCTAAGTACAAATAAAATGCATGTCAAGTAGAGATCTGTTGCTCCACATCATCTGCACTTGCAAACCACTATAAAGCATGTGTGTTCTTCCTCCGTTTTGTGGGTTAATCTGGCAGAAGGAATACAGTCAAATCCTTCACAAAATCCTTTACAAGTCCTGGCAAGTCCATCACAGATCATCCAGTCTTAAGCTAAGTCACAAGCTACAGCTATTCAAATGAACTGTAACAAAGACACTCTTTTGTCACTGTTCACCCTGTTACTTGTGACTGGTCTTGTGAAAGGACTTGTGATGGGACTTGTGATGGGCTCGACTGTAGCTCTGCCAGGTAGCGTCATCTAAACTTCCAGCACAGTACCCACAGAAGCACCCTCACACAGGACCTTCAACTAAAGCCTACCTCCAGGTGGTGGGGTAATCTGCCGGCTTCTGTGTGCTCTGGTTGGTAATACCACAGAAGTGTCATCATTAGGTCTCCTGCAGGTACCAAAGAAAGAAGTTAATAAGTAGGTGGTATTTTACCTTCCCCTGTTGTAATATCTGACAACTTCTTGATGGCCTTTTTTGTTGGGTTTTTCCTGAATCCTCCAATCTTCAGACTGAAGTACCACTACTATACCGAGGTAAGTAATCATCACTTTTGAAGTCGAGTCCATCACAAGTCACCCAGTCATGAGCCAAGTCACTAGGCTAATCAATTGACAAGAGCATTCCTTTGTCTTTGTTCATTGTTCACTTACAACTGATGCTGTGAATGGACTTGTGACTACTGGACTTGTGATGGACTCAACTACAACACTGGAAATCATGACTGGGATTCACCTCCCTCAACCCTGAAAGATCCTCTAAATCATTCTTGAAATTTTGAAGGACAGGATGAATGCTGAACTTTGTTTGGATAAGCCCAAAACTTTCAGACTGCTTAAAATCCAAGCAGGCTCCTTTGTTGCACTTAGTGCATGAACTTCATGAAAAACCACAAAACAAATACACGTCTATATTTTGTTCTGCAGTAAATCAGGACCCGAGTGGTGCTTGCTTGCTGGGTGGGGTTTCCAGGTTACATTCCAATTTAGTCCATTTTCAGCAATACTTTCCTAATATATAAAGGTCAGAGACTGCTCACTGCTGATAGATTCGTAGTTGCCGGGATAACAGCTCACAGCCTGCTACATTATCAATAATGCTCTGAACTATTGGCATACATGTATCTAGATCCTTTTACTTTGCAGTTTGCATGTGTACCTATGTCTGATGTGATGCACATGCCTCATTGTTGAAAATGTGGCAAGGGATTCAGTGTACCCATGGCAAACCTTATTTTGCATCGGTGCTGAAGCTCAAAGCACGTTGCCATGCTTGGAGTTGGGTTTGATTGGTTGACTCGTTTCAAAATAAGATATATTTTTCTATTTTTAATACTGTATAATTTTACTGGGTTCAACATTGTGCAGGTAAGAAAAATCAGATGACAACTGACTCCAGCGAAGGAAAACTACATACAGAAATCACACACTAAAATCAAGATACTGAAATCCTTGTATGGAAAACCGCATGGGGATTCTAAAGTTGCATTCACAGTAAGAGAATTTGAGAAGACCGTAAGTACATGTACATCTGTCTCCTTGTCATAAGAGACTAACAAATGCTGATCAAGTTCCTTTCCACTTGTAAGACCTCCACGTGTGAATATTGAGTAGTGATGGGTGGTTCCAGAATTCTCAGAGCCGGTTCCTGCTCCAGCTAAGAACCGTGATTCCGAGTTAGAACCGGCTCCCAAAGATATAAAGAAAAACGTAAGGGTTAATAGAACACAATAAAAATATGTCGCTGCCTCATCACACCGGTGCCACTCCCGAACGGCACAACAGACTGGCTTTTGGTCTTAGGTGGGCTTTACGATTATCCACAGTGGGTTTTTTAAATTTTATGTTTGCCTCTTTGTAGACTAGTCATGGCCGGAATAAATCTGTAACATGTAAGTACAACCATGACACAACTCAGTACTGCTTCTTCAAACACTGTTTTCCACTCTATGTACATGTATAAAAATACTCCAATCAGAACAACAACCAATTCGCCATTGCAAGTTCATGTAACTTTACCCATCATACAAATGGAATCGTCAACTATGCCGTGGAACTTCATGTATGGACTGGATCAAGTGTACTTATTGAACATGTGCCAACGTTTTGTAAATGGCCATGGACCATGCATAAACTGGTCATTCGTCCACTATCTTGTAAGCTATGCCGTTGCCCAGGTCCATGCATGAAACTGGCTCTGAAGTGAGAAGTTGAGAACCGAGACCCTTGCTGGTGCATAAGTTTGGGCAACGGCTAGGCTATTTTTTAACCATGTGACGATTTTGCCTGGTGTCATACATGTATATGCGGAAAGTACGACATGTCGCACGCAAGTACCAGGCAAAATTCACCAACGTTGAAGTCACAGCCACATGCAAAACAGTCTGCGAGCTTCATGGCTTCCGGCCACGCAGGAGCGGCAGTGACTCGGATTCGATGTTTGGAGTTGTCACTCAAAGGCGCTGGGACTCGGGTTTGATGTTTGGAGTCGGCTCTTTGAATGTAGAACCGCCAATGGTGGGTACCTGGTTCTTCACAAAAGCAGAGCTGCTGATTCTGATTTTCTTTTGGAACCGTGGTTCCACTCAGAACCGGGAGTATCGCTCAAGCCTAATACTGAGGGCCTTTTCTCCATGCTAATGAGCCAACCCCACACATAATTTATGATAGAGATGTGGATGCCGGATTCATTTTTCCTCATTTGCTTGATAACCCTGGACTGGAAATTATTTATTATGAATGAAAGGTACCTGTGTACAACTTGCATGTAAGCTTTCCTTTTTGTTATTTTCAACATATTGAATTATTTTCAATATAATAAATAATTCAAGGTTTAAAAGGACACACTGGATAATCCAATATATCAGCTGTTGCGATTGTATTTGTCCAACACAGGTCATGCTTGACAGTATCCTTGTGGGAGATTGAGGTCAGCATAAAGCTGGCATTAAGCCAAGCAATTTACACATACACAGGAAACTCTCATCAGCATGACGTTTACCCGAGGTCTTTTTTTTTCCTAGCAGTCTCAGCAATCTTTCTTATCTGGTGCAAAGCAATCACAGTTTCTGTGAAATGCTTATGCAATCAGCATTGTTCTACAGGGAAACTTCTACAAAAACACCTATCCTCATTCATACAAATGTTTACTAAAAATGGGGGTGATAGCAGTACACAGTTAAGCTGGAATGAGGTTCTGCGTATGGAAAGAGAAAGTCGTGGAAATGAAATCTATTTTTCTGTAGAGTGTTTTGTCAACCACAACTGGACTTAAATGTGCCAGGTAATCTAATCCAATGGACTGGGGTTGGACTAGCCCGGATCATACTCCCTTGCATTGCAACAAAATGCAGCAGGGAGTCAGCACCATGAAGTTTATGGATAAGTTTAATGTGAGCACACAGGCATCAGTTGCTAGAAGCAACAGTTGTGGACCCAACTTGCGCCATGACCCCTAGTCAAATGGTAACTTTGCTGGAGTCTATACCTGAGTCGGGCTCTTCCCAGAGAGAGGCCACCTTAGCCACGTAGGCCGGCTCCTTCCTGCGATTGGCCGCTGCCCGCAGTAGGACACAGTCTTGCGTGCGGATCTCATCATCCTTGCGTCGGATTGCATTGTAACAGTGGCGATACTCGCGCACTGCATCATTCTACAGTGCACAGATCAATTAATTTAAAGAAACACACTGTCAACAAAATTACAATGCTCTTTGGGGAATTCTTCAAGGCTTCAAAGTGGATGACATGTCAAAGAAGGAAAAACTACAGCGATACTTTTTCTTTTGCCAAGCTGTAGAGGAAGAGGTGCGAAACTGGAAAGCCCCCAAAATATAATGTAACTGTCAAAGCAAGCCTGTAACTGCATAACTTATAGACAGATAGCATGAACATGTAGGATGAGTACCCCATGTACCCAAGTGTTTAAATCCCCTTTCCCCGTCATTCTGCTCACAGGGAAATGTACCTGTCTCAAGGAGACTACCATACGTAGGTGTATATGTGCTACTGCCTGCAGTGTGGGCAGCAAACAGCAGTGTCAACAACATTAAATGTCACCTCAGTTTGTGGTTGTTCCTCAAAATGTCAAATGCTCTCATTTATAATTGTACACATCAACGCGTTAGGTGGAGCACACCTCCTACTCTATGCCTAACCCTGTAACAGTGCTGGACTTCCTACTTTCCAAATCCTCCCCCCCTACATAAATGAAAGATTTTGAAGGATTGAGGTTGTATGGGAAATAAGAGGTGCAGCTGAGTTTGAAGGATGTAGTGTGTCAAGGTCTAATGCTCAGCCATGCACAGATACAGGTCCAGATTGTGAACAAAGTCATATTGAAAGGAATTGCCGGAGGATCATGCAGGACTGACCGAGGCATTGGCCATCCTTCCATGGAACACATGCAAGAAGTGAAGGAAGATTTTGGAAAATTGAGGTTGTACCTGGGCTTGGACGATATTGTACTCTTTACTGGTACACGTATTTTGGGGTATTTGTGAAACAATACTGTGAAATTCACTAATATCGTGAAGCAAAGTGTGGAATTGCGTATGACAACAAAAACCAAAGACAATAAGCCAACATTCACTGGGAATGCAAAACAAAGGTAGTTGTGAACGTGGCAAGACTTCTAAACTTGGCTGGTAGGTTGGCAGCTGTTTCTGTTTCATTTGAAGTTGAGCTGGACAATGTCTCATCTCCCTGAGTAAGTGACGATGCAGACATGACAATGGATGACTCCAACCACACAAAATGGAATGAAATATGTGGAAAATTGATGGTTGTCCTTTTTTTCAAAAGGGTTCTGCATATATTTGAATGAATTAGCAATAATACTACAGTATTAGAATTCCATACACAGCTTACTGGTACGTGTATTTTGGTATTTATGGATCAACAGTTGGTACTTTTCAGTAGCGAAAAAAACCACACACTATTTAGTAATACCCAAATACCGTCCAAGCGTAGTTGTGCCAAATTTTCACAGGGAGGCAGTCAAAGGATTTTACAGGACTGTGAAATTGTATGTGAGTAAAAACGTCTTAGTAGTTAGAGGTCATGAAGATGGACTCACCCTCAGAACCACAGGTTTGAGTATGGGCTCTCCGACGCCCCTCCAGCCGTTGGTGGTCTTCCGTCGACCCCCCTTGCCCAGCTTCAGGTTGCTCTGGTTTAAGATCTTCTTAGGAATGCGTGATTTGGGTTGCAGGTGGTTGGTGGGCAGGATCTGGGCTTGCAGATTAGGTGGGGCTAGCAAAGGTGGAATCATCCCATCTGAAAAGGCCAAAAGATTAGATGAAAGACTCCAATTATTTCACCAGCACAGTGGATTAAAACCCTACATGCACTTGACCTAGACATCAGTGAATACTGTCAGTTTATTTTCACTCACATCAATTAAAACAATTTATAAAGGCTCTGGAACTTATTTAGAGTCCTCATGGGTTTTCAATTTGGCTACAGAAAGACATTTTTGCAATATATGCAATGGCACAAGCGCATTATTACTGATCTCGTGGATGACAGCGCACTCTATTGACAGTTATTCAAAATTCTGGAAAGAGCATGCACGCACCCCGTGGCTACCGCAGTTTGGGAAAATATCTGTGATCGTTTTTAAGAGATGATCACCTCGGTTTGGAAGTGACATCATTTGTGCATTTGTATTTCATTGCAACAAAACTGGAAAGGAATGGGGAAATGATGAAAAGAAATCATGTGACTTCATTTCTCGTTCATTTAATGTTCTTTGAATTTATTGCATTTTAAAAATAAAATGATGTTTTTCTTTATTTGAGAGGTATCACTTCAATAAAGTAAGTTCCTCACCTGGTCTGGGTCCCTCTTTCGTTAAGCATTTTAATCATTGGACGTATGAAGTAATCTGAAAACTGAACAAGTTGCCTTTTCCCAGTGACTCTATTTCCCATTCAATCATGTTTTTCAATTCTTCCTAAAGAAGTAATATTCATTGGGAGACTGTTCCCTCAATGCGTTCTGAACCTGAGAGGTCAGGGTATGGAATTATGTATATATTTTGCTGGCGATCTCAATGAAATTGGCCTCTTTTGTTCAATCCATGATTTTCCTTTCAATTTTCTTTCAGTTATCTTCCAGTTCAAGTTGAAATACATCTTGTTTCTGTCCATGGAGGTACCTGTAATGCCTTTGTGTTCTGTCATGATTTTTTTTTCTGCAAAAAAACCATAATTTTATTTTTCAGTATCACATATTTCTCAGAATTCTTTGTCAAAAATTTTTAATCAACATTTCCATAGAAATAAAACCACACAAAATGTGTTGAACTATTTCAAAATTGAGGAGCTGAGTTCCAAATCAGATGTCATATTTGGCCAATCACTAGGCGCTTTGAAAAACACTCTTATCAGCTACTCCAGGCCATGACACAACACCGAGTCTGAGATAGGCCACGAGCAGGTAGAAATGTCATCGTTTGGCTTGTTTACATAACTGGTGCAAAAAATATCTAGTCACCCTCCAGCGTTCGTCGGGATCGACAATCGACATTACCCCTGACAAAAAGCCACATTTCTTTCAACTACTTTTCAGTTTAAATTCCACCTAAGCTGTGTTTACCCCCAAATTACGACTGACCTTCGCACACAAAGTCCACAAAATTACAACAAAGTCGATGGTATTCGAGCAAATGCGATGACACATCGCGCTAGGCCCGACATCATCGGCAGCAACCACATTCAAAATTCTCGCCATGTCTGAACAATAGAGGGCGCTGTTCATTGTGCTCGAAACAACGTCAAATCCTGTGTGGCGACGGCTTTTAAACTGATTTTTTGGGTACAATGATGTATTGCGCGACTTTTCTGCTTGATTATATTTGTAGCCAATTAATCAGTCAACCAATTTATGAATAAACTGGACAATTTTGCCCAGGCCGTTTATGGCCAAATGTAAAAATGCATCAACAAACAAATGTAGATGTATATTTTTCTTGTTTGGTACTTTTCATAGTTTACTGTAAAAGGTAAGTGCGAATTTCTGCACTCCATTCATTTTTTTCGAAAGCAATTTTATATCAGCTGAAAGAGTGTCTAACAAGGTACAAAATGATGCAAAGGTTTCTATCTGAAGATATAATTTGGTTTTGAAAAGCAGGGTTATTGTTGACATTGTTTTCAACTATGATAAGTCTACCTTTCTTCAAAAAAACTGAGGTGCGTACTTTTGTGGAAGACACAGTAAAATTATTAAAAATCAAAATAATTTTTAGTGAACATTATCTCATTAGATACTAGTGAACTGATTAAAAGCTTAATATCAAAGGGGAAAATTTTTTTTTAATGTCTGGGTCTTAAACCACTGTGACTTTTCATTAAAAATGCACTGTAGATGCGTAGAAAATCAGTCTCTGTCCACCTGTGAATTAAAAACAAATTGAAACTGTCGGAATGAATCAAACTGTATTGCCCTCAGAGGATATTGTTAAGATCCTGTGTATACATTAAGATTGCTAATCTGCATGTAATCAAGCCTGAAACTACTGATTTTGTTATCAGCTTTCAACTTCATATTAAACGGCAATGACTCCAAGCTTGCCCAGGATCTAAAAGCAGGCAGTAACATTTGAATGTTGTTGATTTGCAATTTCATTGCGAGGGACACTTGCATATGTCAGTTTCCATGTCTGTGACTGAAACTGAAATTTGAGAAGACTTTAACGATGGTCACATATCATGCTGTATGGTGTGTACATGTACATGTAAGAAGTAGCCTCTAGAATTATCCACGGGTTTTAAACTGATCAAATGCATAATTAGGAGACAAAAGCTTATAATGTGACTGTTGCAGTAAAACAAGACCCAGTCGGTCAGGGTCAGACCACAGTCGGAGCAGACATGCAATCATCCAGTCTTGTAGCTGAAACCAAGTTCTCCAAAGTCCATTTCACATCCTCACAAGTCCAACACATGCCATCAAAACGGCATCAAACCTACTCGTCTCAAGTAACATGCCACTCAAACTGAAGCACTTGAAGTACCCCCTCAAAGAAGAAAAATGGCTGGTGGGAGAAATGACAACTTGGCGCACGGCACAAACGCAACGACTGTACAGTACATTTTGACAGAAATTGTTCACTGACTAAGTGCATCTCATGCCAAACACACATAAACCAGGGTGGGCATGCAAGTAGCCAGCTCCAACCACAGGGCATCTTTCTTGCTCAAGACATGTAATGCCATCTCTTGCTCCTGCACAGAGCAGACGCTGCATGCATTTGTGTGTCATTAACCCCCCTCCCCCATGGCCTGGCCGGTAATTTGAATTCAAATTTGAATTGGATGTGACTGTTCGACATTGTAATGATCCTTTCATCCTTTACCACTGGGAGTGGAAGCACCAGGCTAAAAAATGTTGAGATTATGCTGCACAATGAGGATTGATTTACATGTGCACCACCTTTGCCTCCATAGCATTACACACACACTTGGCAAAATTCATTTGAGGTCCAGCAACCGGCAATTGGTAGCCCGTTTTTATCTAACCAAATCAAGACGTTGCTCAGCCTAGCGCCTCAGTACATTTGTGTGCTTAGTGGCTTGATAAAATTGTCCCCCAGAGCCTCCTGGGTAGTAATGAATGTACCGCTAAATAAAGACTACATGTAGCCTAATCACTGACGCATTGCCAGTCAATAATTATGTGTATTCATGCCGTGGCTGATGAATGGCAAATGTGCCTCAAGGTAAAGATTTTTCAGTCTCCATGCCCACTCACATTATATGTACATTATGTGGATTACGGCACACGTGCATGCATATTTACTCCAGTTTGAAATTATTAAGGGGGAAATATTCCAGGCTTAACCACTACAGTCTTGAATACACAAGGTAATCAATATGAAACTACCCCTGTCATAAACCTTGGTTTTCTTGTGACTTTTTTTTTCTTGGAGGATAGTGCTGATGACAGAAGTTAAGACCCACAAACATACCATCTAGCTACGACAGTGTACAGCAAAAATGCTGATCTACCATGTACATGTACTATAAGCATACCTTGGCACCGTAGTTGAGAAGACTACCGGTCCAAATGACAAAACACAGATAATAAGATGTTGTGAGGACCATCAATTTGGGTCCTGGACTTCCTGACAAAGGAAACTGTATGCCACTGCAGAAACAGCCTGAGCGTTTAAGTCTCCCATGAATACGGTATGTTCCTAACCGGTTTTTTTTATGCAAATTATAATCTGCTGTAATGTGAAGACAACAGGCTGTCAAACACAGAATGATTTAACCTGCAAAATGTGCATATACATCATCACTCACCAGTGATGCGTTGTATCACCTTAGCTCTATGGTAAAGGTATTAAGTAACTAACATCACTATGTGTAGTGTTTGAATCCCAACTGGGGATCAATTTTTCAAATTACAAGTACATTGTTTATTTTTGTATACATTTAATCATAAACATTTCCAGACCTCTTTGCGTATTACATTCCCGCATTTCATACATGTGCAACTTAATGTGCACATGTGCCGTACGTATTCACATGAACACGCAGCAGGACGTTCCATCATTTCTTCAAGTAGACATGTACATGAACGCACATGCAGGTCCATAAATATAACATGTACATGCAGGCCTACAGTACACATGTTTACAACACGAGAAGTACAGGTACTATACATGTATTGCAATTTGCATACATGTACATTTCATATGAGTGTACACGAAAAATAGCCATGCACATCCAAGCTACATGTATGCCTACATGCACATGGACATTCTTCTCAGAACTAGACATTCTGTGAATATTTATCACCGTTTCAGAAGTCTCTGTGTATAATTCCTTAAGCACTCACTGCACCTGATCTACATTTCAAGATCTCAGGAAAGCAAAATTGAAAGGATTCTTGCAACATTTCTTCCCCAACCGTCAGCTTGTTGCCAATGCCAAAGTACCGAACAAGCCACTCATGAGTGAAAATTAAATCATGTCTGACATCCCGATTCTATTATCAGTATTACATGTAAAAGCACTCACAGTTGAATTCCCACGTGAACATAACGGTACCACCCTACATGTACGTGTACATAATGCATGAACAAGCTAATGCAGCACGTTTTATCCATTTCTTGGTGTGACCTGTGTGTACCGGTACCTGTTCATGGTGCTGATTTCCAACTAGAGTTTGTGTAACATCACTGAGAAACTCGACGGTTGAACTTTTCAGGGTACAATCCACTAATTCAAGCCCCATTGAAAACTGTGTAAAATCAGCACTGTTCA